AGCAGCAATCCATTGATCTCTGTAAGCAGCACAGCTCAGATAAAGCACACACGTCTGAAAAACTGATTGAGTGGGAGAACACGGGAGAGGCTAGGACAGAAGGGGTCCAGGTCTGGGCTGTGTTTGTGGCCACCTGGGCCAGTTCAGTTTCCCACCCATGGTCTTGCTCTTACCCCACCCCAGGAAGTGGACAGCCGAGGACCACTCTCGCACTGAACTTTGGCTGGGATAGTTATTTTTGAGGCCCTGCTTGCCGTTGGCCTGTGCCACTCCTGGAAAGCAGCGCTGTCTTCCTGTTTTCACATAGTATGGTGGCCACAATGACAGTGGGAAAGAGCTGAGGTGGGTGAGGGAAAAAAGTGCATTTTATGATTAAAAACGTCAAGTTAAATTTTTAGGACTTATGTGTATGATCGTTTGGTCTGTCTGTCTGTTTGTCTGTCTGTATGTATGTACATGTACTGCATATGTACCTGGTGCTCTTGGAAGGGAGAGGAGGCTATCAGACACCCTAGAACTGGAATTGCAGGTAGTTGTGAGTTGCCACATGGGTGCTGGGAAGGGAACCTGGGTCCCCTACAAGAGCAGCCAGTGCTGTTAACCACTGAGCCAGAGTCTCTCTCTCTCTCTCTCTCTCTCTCTCTCTCTCTCTCTCTCTCTCTCTCTCTCTCTCTCTCTCTCTCTCTCTGTTGGTGGCAGGGTCTCATTATGCTGCCCTAGCTGGCCTCAAACTCACAGCGATCCCCCTGTCTCTGCCTCCCTAGCGCTCCGGTTAAGGCTATGTATCATAACATCCTGCAGGGATTTTCATTTAGTGAAAGACGATCATTTAAGAGAGAGAAGGACTGCAAGTTTGTGCAGAAAAAGTGGGGAAAGGTAGTGGCCTCTTTAGGTAGAACAGACACTAGATCGACACAGGCCACACCAAGTGCCACCCAAGAGTCTCCGGCGGTGTCTTTCTGAGTGTGTTGGCACTTCTCCCCAAACAGCAGAATCGAAAGGCAGGACAGGAAACCGTAAGGTTAATTACACAGAAGCGCAGGTGCGGGTCACAGGACAACTTGTGGGGGTTGCTTCTCCTACCACGTCATTGAACTCAAACCACCAGGCTTTTCTCCACTGAGCCCGGTTTCGTGTTATAAAGGACTGTTTCTGGGTTAAAGGTTGCCCTAGGTTGTTTACTGCAGTGGCACAGCCTGGGGCTTAGTTTAGGGTTGCTGCAGGCAGACTCAGCATCCTCCTGCCCCCGACTGCTTTCAGTATCGTCCAGACAAACACATCTCTAGGTACATATTTCATATTTTAGAGTCTGTTTGCTTTGTATAATTTGTAAAACTACGCAACTTCTTCTAACCATAGGTAAGACAAAGCCTGGGGGCTCTGAAGAGACCCCACAGGGATGCTGCCCTTTGGAGCTCTGATCCAGTCTCTCCACAGAAGCCTCTTCTCCCATTCTCTTCTGGCTGGAGGTCCTGGCACTTTCTGGAAGGCCTTCCTCTGGGAGGCTTCTCTATGGCAGCCAGCCAAACTGCATCTGAATCCCTTCTGCATGCTGATCTACCGCCACCTCACGGCCATGCTCTTTCTCTGAGCAGTCCCCAGCCTTCAGACTCAATAGGAACACACACAGCCTTTCACAGAAAATGTCAAAGCAGTGGTTTCTGGGCAGTGAGACCCCCCGCCTTTGATATTTATAGCACAGTTTATTTACATATCTGTTTGTCTGTGTGGGTCTGTATGAGCCACACCATGCATGTGACCGCCAGAGGAGGGGTCAGTACTTTCCTACCACGTAGGGTCTGGAGGGGGACTCAAGCCATCGGGTTTGGCAGCAAGTGGCCTTACTCACTGAGCCCTCTCACCAGCCCTGAGGTGCCTCGGTTTTATTTTCTCATTTGGCACACCTCATTTGACAGGGACAGGCCTTCCTTCATTCTGCAGGGTAGAACTGTACTCCATTCTGTATGCACGCTGCCTTTTCTGCATCTCCTTACATTTTGGCTATCCTGAATAATACTAACATGGATGCAGAATGCAGGTATCATTTCAACATACTCATTTCCTGTCACTTGGACACACACCGAGTAGCGGCATCATTGGATCATGGCAGTTCTTTTAATGTCTAAAGACCAGTCACAGTTTCCCGAAATACTTCCCTACTTTACAGACCACACTAACAGTGAGCAAGAGCCCTTTCTCTACTGCCTTGCCCACGCAATAAGGGGACAAACTTTTCTATGGCTGGGCCATACCAATGTCTGCAAAGCCAGTTTGTATTTATGTCAACACTGTCACACCCCTCTATCTTGCTACATTTGTTGCAATGTCCGTGGCCTATGCCCTCCTTATCCTCCAGAAAAGACTTCCCGGCTCCATCCTGTAAGCCTTTATGTGTTCTATCTGTATATTTCTATTGTAAGTTTTTTTTATTGCTGTTTCCCTAAGAACCCAGAACCTGATGTATATTCGCACTCAATAAATTTGCTGAGTTAATGTTTAAGTGTGAGTTGAGGTTCCCAGTACATTGTGTTTAGTTTTGTTTGTTTGCTGGGACAGACTACTCCATGCGACCCTGCCTGGCCTGGGACTTGCAGCAATCTTCCCGCCTGTTTCTATACAGCTGCGCCTAACTTCACCTCTCGACTCCTTCCCATTCTGACTTTCCTTGCTATTGTTACCCAGAACACAAGCATCCCTGCATTTCCAAATCAGATCATTTATTGTCTTTTGGGGGCAGAGGGACACTTTCAATGATACCCATTCATGTTCTTTTGACCGTGTGTGTGTTTCTGTCAACTCCCCAGTGGACCACAGTGATGGAGTGGTGGGAACATCTATACAGTCTCTTTACATGGCTTCAGAGGCATCCTTCTCTCCACAGGTATCTTAAAAACAAGGCAGAGAAAATCTTGTTCATTTCAACAGGTCAAGCGTAATCTTGTGCTCGCAGGAAGCTGGGTATGGAATGGCACTTTCAGTGACAATCACCCATCCTAACATCTTTGTGTTTAAAATCAAATTTTATCCCACAGAATATTATTGATGGGGTCACGGTTCTAAAGTAGATTTCATTTTTATCCTATTTTTTTTTTTTACCTTTTGCTGTTAAACAAAATAACATATCCTATTTTCTAAAAAAACAATACAAGGCATATCATATCAAATAGTACTTCGACAGAGACAAGGAAATCCTGCTATCATATAGCAAGGTGTTCATTTATGCAAACATATTAAAATTCCCCAGTCTTCAAAATGATGTTATCATGAACACATGAAACAATACTATAAAGTGAGTGTCAAAATTTCATTTTTAGTTCATGAAAAATATGGAATATGGAAATAAACTTCCCTTCCATAAAGCACAGGGGTTGGCTGGAATGAGAAACCACAAGCACCCTGGCCTGTGTCTTGGAAGAGGCCTGGAGCCTCTGTTCTGGAATGTATGTCAGTGACCAGAACTCCTGGAGATCTATGACGCTTCCTTGCCAGAATGAGCTCTTGAGAGCCTACAGTTGCCCCCTTTGCTAGCCGAGTGAACCGGCACGGGAAAGAATACGCTCAGAGGGCGCTCCAAGCAGAACACAGGTGATCCCGACAAAGAGCAAAAGACAAACGCTTTATTATGAGATCTTTTCAAGTAAGGTTTCCGTGTGCACCAGTGAGTGAATGCGGATCTGCATCAAAGGTTTCAAATGAACACCAGATTAAAAAGGGGCTACACAGTTTCTCTTTTGTTGCTTTTTCCCTCCCAAACATCATCCTTCCCTAAGGCAAGAAAACACACCATTTAGAACAGTCAAGAAGAAAGCTACATCACAGGATGGTACAGAAGATAAGAACACCTTCTTCGGGAAGCCAGGAGGTACAGCCCATTGCCTACACCGGCAGCTCCCACTCACTTTCTGACCACAGCACTGATCACAGCACTGGCTTGCTTTCCATTGGTGAGCTTTGAGAACATCCTCTGTTTCTCAGGAGTGTGCGGATGGGGCCCATATGCTGATATTACAGTAAATCACAACATTAAATAACATTGCACAGTCAACCTCCAAGGCTTTTCAGTACAAAAGTGAGCGTTAAAAAGGTACCGTTACTAGTGGCTTTACGCCACGCACAGCACTAATGAAAGAAGAGAAGGTAAACGGCCAGTTACAGAGCTGCACATTACGGGTAGATGTGGAAGAAACTTGGTAACCTGGGCAAAATACTGAAAACAAATGGGTTCTGAGGGAGCAAAGTGAACCCCGGGCAAGCATAAATTCATAAATGAATGCGGAGAGCACACCTAGCTCTCGGGTCTGAGCACTTGCAGACACTACAGTGGCACGGGAGGATGGAGGCTGGGAAGACACTGGGACAAATGCTCCCAACGCCAGTCAGTTCCTGAGGCAGCATCATATCTTAGCCAACGCCTTCATCAACACTGTCCGGAGGAGCTTGTGCTATGAGACGCCCCAGCACTCTGGTGGCCCAGTTACCCTGCACGTACCGAAGGCAGCAAACCCAAGTGCTGGTTTACTTCACAGCAGCCCAGCAAACCACCATGTATGTATTCTTTCACTCTCTGCTGCTGATTAGCAGGTCAGAAAACAAAGGGAAAGCAAACTTGATAAAGATTTGATTCCGGCACTTCTGAGTTAGCTTGAGGCAGAGCTGTGGCTTTCTTTTCACTGTGTTTAGAAGTCTAGGTGCGGACACTGTAAACCTGTTGTGTCCCCTGGCCACATCTTGTCTGACACAGGCTGAGAGCAAGAAACGCAGGAGAAACAGGATGACACCGACCACTGTCAACTTCTGGTTTAAAGATGATTTAAAATAATTTTATAAAGTCCATGCTACAATTTTAAAGACTATTTCTGTGCACTTTTAATTCTGGACACAATTTTTAAAATAGCATGATGGAGGTATGAATTTAAAAACCCACCAGAACGTAAATAACAGGGAAACCACTTTCAACTCAAAGCATTAAACATACATTTCTGGAGACCCAGACAAGTATACAGGTTTTAAAGCAATCATATTTTATTATACAACTCTATGAACAGAGGATGAACAGAAATACACAATATACTTACCTGTACATGTGAACCTACTTTTTAAGCTACAGAGTCTTATTATAGCTCATACTGACTTTAATTTTACAGTTCATGACTATGTATAACCCTATTGCGTTAAGGACAGATTCTACACAGGAATCTGTGCACTCACAACCTGCACCTCAGCTGTGGGGCATCTTCCCTGATCCTGAAGCTCACACAGCTTCACAGCTTAAGCTCGTTTGCTATTTTGGATGCAATGTTCTTAAAGGCAATGGAGGTCCCAGAGATTCGCTTGAAGCGGACCCCATTCAGCGAGAGCCGAGGTAACTTGCAGACTTCCATCTCCCACTGCACAAGGCTGTCCTGCCTCGCGTCGCCATGGACACAGAAGAGCAAGAACCGTTCTTTCTGTTCGTAGTCACAGTTGTTGGCATCCAACACTTTCCGGATCTCTCTCATCATGTCATTGGGGTCCATTGAGCTTGTGGTCTTCATGCTCCATGTGAACCGCAAAGAACGCGGCTTGGAGTCTTTGCCCTCTTCCTTGTCTCTTTCTTTCGGCTCCCCAGATGTACTTCTAGAAGAAGAGGGCAAAGGGGAAAAGTTAAAACAAAAGTTCTGCTTGGCAAAGAAATTGTAAGCATAAAATGTTGAACTTTCCAGTCTGCAGTCTGCCCTCATAGGGACCAGAGTTGCACACTACCACGCTGCTTGCAAACAGGCCCAGGGCACCATGCACTTTGGCATTTAGCATCTTCAGTCTAAAGCAGCAAACTTTCTCAGGTGCATTTGTTCCTGGGAAGGAATTTGCAGTTGAAAGTGAAAACTTAATAGTTTTTTCTATATTCTTCATTTTCTGTACATACACATACCACAAACACACAGACATGTCCTCCCCATATGCACACACCTATACACATGCATATACATGTACAAAGATACACACAGCAGCCACCACTAGGATTCTCCTGATAAAACACAGTATTAGAATATAAACATTTCCCCCTTTTCTGCCCTTCTTGTGTAGGAGCTATGCAATGACTCCAGAAGAAAAGCGGTTTCCAACAGACAGTTGGGAGGGTGACCGCTACTGTCAGGACCTCTCACAGCATGCAGGCTCTGCTCTGTCCCTTTTCTCTAAAGGCATGTGCAAACTGGCGGAGAAGGCAGCCTGTGGCCTCCACCCCTTTTATATCACTTCCCTCTCTGCTCTCTCCCATGGGGACATGCTGGCTTGCATGCTGTCCCTGACCACAGGCCTGTGCGCTCCTCTCCAAGCTCCTGCACAGGCAAGGCTGCCTTCTTTCTACATGGACAACTTCCTTTCTCTCCCCCAATCTTTGCTTGTTTTCTCCAGAGTCCCTGATCACCCAGACTCCTGTCCTTGCATGGCCACCCCTTCTAATTCTACTTTCTTTCTCATTCAAGCCATTTGAATACACTATCTCTTGACCTCGCCTGTATCATAAGATCCAGGCCATCTGCCTGCTTCATTTCTGACACCCAGGCACCCAGAACTATGCTGAGCACAAGAGATGACCAACATTGAGTTTTGGTGTGTAGGTATTGCACAAATAGAACCACAAAACCATCTCAAGTAACCATACGAGGGTAGACTTAATGGACTTCCATGACTCAAAGTACCTTGTATTAAATATATTAAACCGTCATCCAAATACAGATACATTGCAGTTTTGCCTATAAACATCCCTCCCTCATTTGTGAAATCTATCTTTGAAAGACATTTATGCCTTTCCTATAAATACATACATATACATTTATATATTTAAGATATAAAATATTATAAAATATAAAAAGGAATATAATAAGGCAGTTCCTTTCCTCCCAGATACCTGAACCTCCAAAGTGCTAAAAACTGTAATCTTGAGAAAACAGAGAGTAAGTTACAGAGATACATGCCAATGACCACGAAACAGACACGGAAATAAAAGCCAAAGACTACTGAACAGACACGGAAATAAATACCAAAGACTACTGAACAGACACGGAAATAAATACCAAAGACTACTGAACAGACATGGAAATTCACACCAAAGACTACTGAACAGACATGGAAATGCATGCCAAAGACTACCAATGGACAAGGAAAGTATTTACTTCATTGTCTTCTCTACTTTTCTCTGGGAAAAATCCAGAAAGCATGTCAGTGTATAGTTTTACGATGTGGTCCAAGATCGAATATTTAGCTAAATATATCACTATGATGAAATCCTCTGCACACTTAGTTACCTCAGTGTTCACCTAAGTGACCCCACATTACAGAAGGAGAACAGTGCATATTCTCTAGGAAGCTCTCTGCTTCACAGGTGAAGCAGACACTCATCTCACAGACAGGAAGCCCAATTCTTTACCAACTATGCCATTCAAAGTTAGTTGATAAGTTGACGAGCTAGATGACATTAGGAAAGCCTACTATTCTTTGAATATGGATTCAAAGTGCAGACGCAATCAAATTACCACCCTGCCCTGGTCACCAGGTGTGGGAGCACCCAGCACCTGTAGCTCACCTGGCTGTGTCGGTTCTGCCGCTGGCTTCGCCTTCACTTGGATCCCTCAAAAATAAAGAGAAGGTGGAGATTTAACAATTTTAAAAGCAATAGGAGATCAAGAAAACCCATAAATAAAAGACACTGAAGTCAGCGTCCTCATTAGTCCCAGGTGTGAATCCTTCTTCACACTTTTACCCCAGCATGTGCTGCTGCCACTTCCCGAGTGCCCACTAGATACTGTCGATGGCGTATTAGACGAAAACTTAGCTGTTCTTTAGATACAATCTTCCAACCCAGAGTCAGGACTATAACTTAATAATTTATCTTTTGGCTTAGTTTAGCATAATGTAAGGTTAAGTAAGTTTTAATAACTCTCAATAGCAATACTAGACTTCACTTGTAGAGGTTGTTGCTCAGTTGAACAAATGTGCTAACCTTGCAGTTAAACATAGTTTGGAGGCTGAGCACCTAAGGCGGTGGTTAGAAGACTGACCAGTGGGTTAAATCTTTTCTGTGCAAGCGTGAGAACCTGAGTTGGGGCACGTCTTCTGGGGGTGTCCTGAGGGCCTGGTGGCCAGCTATGCTAGCCCAAACAGCAAGCCCCAGGTTTAGAAAGAGAACTTCGTCTCAAGAAATGAGGTAGAGAGTGACAAGATGACAAGAGACACAACACCATCTTCTGGGACACACACACACACACACACACACACACATACACAACATAGGGGTGGGGAAACAGATTGATTGAATTGATTAAGAAAATGAGCCTGGGGCTGCAGAGAAGGCTCAGCAGTTAAGAGTACTGCCTGTTCTTCCAGAGGACATGGGTTCAATTCTCAGCACTCATATGGTGGCTCACAACCATCTATAACTGCGGTCCTATGGAATCTGATGCCCTCTTCTGGTATGCATGCATGCAGACAAAACACGCATACACATAAACAAGCCTTTTTAAAAAAAAATGAAAGAAGGTGATCCCAATATGGTTTTCTAACAATAAATACTAATTCTGAAGTAGACCATGAATTTATTTCAGAAGTTATGCCAAGAACCCACGCACAGTCTTCAGCAGCCTATCCACAAAGGTAAGTCTAAAACAGACTGAACAATGAACAGAACAATAATCTCACTTAGATCTAAATCTGTGAAATAAAACCAGAAAAACTGCTAACTGTCTTTATATTGAAGGTGACTAATATTTTAAGGTCTTCCAAAATTATAACTCTACTGATATTTCAAAGGTGATTGAAACCGAGTCAAGTTATAATCTAATCTAAGAGGTAGCTTGTGATAGAACAAAACCTTTGAGAAGCTAGGAAAATTACCATCTGGAACACTTAGGTTTTTTTTTTTTAATGTTTTAGCCTTTCCACATTTATATTTTTATATAAAGTGTGCACAGCAGGGTTGAAGTCAGCACTGCCCTCCTCTCTCCACCCCCTCAGTACGGAGCTGCTGCACTGCACGGCAAACTCAATCCAGGCACTAAACGTTACAGCCTCCCAAGTCTGCAGGGCTCTAACTACAGGCCTCTTTCCATAGACATACTGTGCAAAGGACATTGTTTTTTTCAGAACTGAAAAGAATAATAAATTTATTTGCATTCTCAAATGGGGTGTCTTAAATTTCTGTTTTTTTATAATAATTGCTATTTTCACTAGTCAGGATATTAAACACTCGGTGCCATCTGTAAAAGTCATTTCACTCTCACGTGTCTGAGCCAGTTCATTTGCTCTGATCCACTGCACAGATGGGCAGTGCTCTCTACCGTAGCAACAGAATTACACTGTTGACCCCACTGGAAGATGAAACACCCGTACCCAAAAGGTGTCTGACTTTTCTGTCCTGTTCACAGGGTGCACTGCTGGTAAGCTCTAAGCATCCAGAATGGGATCTTCCTTACTCAATCCAGTCACATGTTGGTCTAGCCTTCCTGGGATGGGGCAGCCCAAGGAATTGGTTCTAAGTGACCTGATGGGAGGTGGATAGGACACAACAGCACAGCTGGCTGCAACAGTTCATGCAGCTTAGCATGGCTCTGCAATACAAAAGCAAATACTGTATATACAGCAATTTACACTTAACTGAGCACAAAGGCCATTCCCTTCTACTTGGGAAGCCCTCAAGCTTGCAGCAGCAAGCAAGGCAGGATTGCAAGGATAATGAATGTAAGGACAAACTCCTAGCAGTGTGTAGAGATACCTCTGGGTGGGAAGAACGGAAGCAGGAGGTCAGACAGGAGGAGCAGGCATAGGCTTATATGTGCCTATACCTATAGTCTCAGCAAGACAAAAGCTAATTAACCCCCTCCTTTCCTATTTATTTTCTTTTTCTTTGTTTGCAGTCTGTGGGTCAAATGGAAGGTTTTGTGCATGCTAGGTAAGCTATGCCCTTAGTCCTAATGGGTGTTTTAAATCAGGAAGTAACTTAATCAGAATTATATATAAATAATATATATAAACAGAGTATATATGGATGAAGGAGACCAGGTAGGAGTGAAGATTGACAGTGGTTTTGACTTTGAGGCAGTGGCAGGAAAGACTGTACTGAGAAGAGCCATTTGCAAATGTGGAAAGGAATCAAAGGCAACTTTGAGGCAACTGGAGGATGGAGCTACCACTTCTAAAATGGAAAGAACAGGGGAGAGTGGGGCTTGGAGGCTGAAACACAATGCGGAGATGTGGAGCTTCGGGCAACTTGATCTATGGGGATGAGGCTCTGGGAGAGCTCGGGTCAAGACCGAGGCTGTCAAAATGAGAGGCCATCTATGGCCACATCATGAGGAGATAACCAAGGGAAGTCAGAAAACTGGCAGAAAGCAGTCCCAAGTCTGTCCCGTGCATGCTGATGTTTAGAGGTGATGGAAAAGGCAAGGAGACCTTGGAAGGAGAAGCTGGTTTGTGAGGCAGGAAAAACCAGTCTAGAGAGGAAAGAGGCCCAACCTTGAAAGACACTGTAAGAACCAGGGGCTCACAGCCATCTCACTGCTCAGTCCAGTGCCCTGGTGACTGACGATCCCCCCAGCACCCTGAGAACAGTTGCCCACACATCCTCTGACTCCTGGCACAGACTGTGGGTGGACTGTAGGTCTTTCTCTCACAAGGTGCCACTCCGTATCCCTGCCCAAACTGCATAAGATCACTGATGGTCTCTCTGCTAAGATACTTGGATTTGAGGATTTAAGGTTTGAAACCCAACTGTGTGGTACTGACCTGCGGACGAACTTGGAAGTGATTTTGCTTATTATCCCGGTGGACGTTCCCCTTCTGGCGTGTGCAAGGGCACCAGCTTCATGGGACGGGGAGGCAGGCGGCCCATTGTAAGCAGCACTGCGCCGCTCTCGGAGCTGCTCCCCATGGAAGGTGCTTCGGCTGGAGCTCCCTCGGGGGAAGCGGGTCCTGTCTGGGGTGGCGGCACTAATACTGTGAGCAGATGGGGAAGCAGCAGGCGCTCTCTGGGTTGCACTGCTGGGAGAAATAAAGATACATTATTCAGAATAATGACGGGCGCTTTCACTCGGGCTAAACACTGGGGAGGGGAAAAGTGCGAGTCCTTCCGTTGGTCCAGTGATTTGTTTGCATTAGAAGTGAGGAGCATGGGACAATTAATTTTCCATCTCATTATACAAGGAGGGGAGGGAAGTTTAAAAATAATATACTTCTTGTAAAATTTGGTAATTAAAGATTAAGAAACTACTGACATGAAGACAAATACTGCCAGAATCTGGAATGCCCAATCTGGGTGCTGCATATGTGTTTTTTACATGTAATCTGCATGGTCTGAAATTTCAAATGCTTCAAAATTCAAAAATTTTTTGAGCACTTCTATGACTCTACACATAAAAATTCCATGTGTGATCTCATGTGAAGTCCACTGAAAACACTATGAAATATCTTTAGGCTATACATGTAAGATATGCCAGGAATCTAAGTGAACTCCATATCTAAATTCATGTTCTATTCCAACCATCTCATTATGAACATGTGAATATTGCAGAACTGGAAAATGTCCCAAACCCAATGGTTCCTGGGCCTAGGAATTTCAGATAAGGGTTCTTCAATTTGAACTTCACCAATGTACGTTGGTTGCTCAGTAACCTGTAGAACAAACTTTATTCTTTGTCAAAAAGCCTTTTCATAATATTACCATGTTTCCACTTTAGACCCTGGAGGATTCAATGCATGTGGTGCTATCAAAACCTACTTACTGGAGTGAGAGCATGCTCAGATACTCGAGTTCCAGTTCTATAAGAAGCAAAACTCCAAATGTGAACTGAATTTTATACCCAAGCAGCCGCTCCCCTGATACAGCAGCTGCTAGGACCCAAGGCCACAGCGCCTAGCTGGGTTGGTTATGTGTCTTTTCTTTGGCAAGGGTTTCCAGATAGCGTCTCTCTGAGTAGCCCTGGCTTGCTTTCGAGACCAAGCTGGCCTCAAACTCACAAAGATCCACCTGCTTTTGCCTTCCAAGTGCTGGGATTAAAGGTGTGCGCCATCACATCTGGCTTTTGTGCATCTCATTTTACTCCCCCCCCCCCGCCCCCGACCACAGACAGGGTTTCCCCAGGTAGCCCTGGCTGTTCTGGAACCCACTCTGTAAACCAGGTTGGCCTCAAGCTCACACCTGTCTCTGCCTCCCGAGTGCTGGGGGGAGGGGGACTAAAGGTGTGTGCCACCCCCGCCTGATCTTTTTTTAAAAGCTTATTTGTGTGCATGTGTACATGCGCACTCCTGCCACAGCGCATGTGTGGAGGTCAGAAGACAACGTCCAGGTGGCTCTCTCTGTTCACCGCGTGGATTCCAGGGATAGAATCGAGGTCACTGGGCTTGGCGGTAAGCACCATTACCACCTGCTGATGCTTCTCTAGCCACTCAGCTTACTTAAATGATAAACCAGGCAGCAATGCTTTGTGACAGATTAAAAACACAATCTGTTAAGAATATTCTTCTTAAAAATGATTTTAAGTAACTTCAGATAACTGCTACAGCACACAATAAGTGTACACCCAGTCAACATTTCCCGACACTGTGTCTTTCCGACCACTCTGGAGGAGACAGTGACCACAGAGAACGAGAAGCAAGAGGACTCACCCAGGCCGGTACGCTTCAGAGCCATCTTTAATGGTTGGCAGTGTGACTTTAATAGGGTGGCCAGAGGTCGACATGGACTTCTGGTGGCGGGGCCGTGCTGAGGCGCCAGCAGAAGCTGCTGTGGAACCCGCAGATGACAAGCTGCTGGCGGACATCTCTGTAAGGCTTGACATAAAAGAAAAGGTACAGTTACTAAAACCCAAGAAAGGGATTTCCTGAGTCTCAACTGATTGACACTTTCATGACTGAAACACTTAAAAGAAATGAACACATTCTTACTCATTAACAAATCAATTCCCCATTTAAGGTACGTCCATTGAAAAGTGCTTAGACGTGTGTTCTGTATGCATGTGTCTGAGAAGGCAGGCATATGTATGGATGTGTGACAGCTACAGACGAGACGGTTATTGCTGGAGACATTTTACATTCAGTTCTAAGATTAGTTCTGTGCACTGTGTTGCTGTGAATCTTCCTATATCACTTAAGCTCTGAGAACTCCTAGCTATATGAAAATTGCTGTTTCTGTAGCCAGCACCTCCTGCAGCTCCTATCAGTTCACTGTCTGAAGAACAGGCTGGCCAGTATGGGTGTCAAGCAGCTACAGATCAGCATTTGGTACAGAAGACACAGTTAATAATTGGAAATCAACTTCAACACCAAGCCTAAAGAATGCCAGGAAGCCACAGTTTCCTTGTGTGCTTTCTCGTAGCCTACAACAGAAAAGAGAGCCATGTGAGGTCGGACTGTCCCTCTGCTGAGAACAGAATTTCATCACAACAGATGCTTCAACCTTTGAGCTACCATGAGTAGTTCATCCAACTACAATAAAACTCAATAATGGGCTGGAGAGATGGCTCAGTGGTTAAGAGCACTGCCTGTTCTTCCAAAGGTCCTGAGTTCAATTCCCAGCAACCATATAGGGGCTCACAATCATTGTAATGAGATTTGGTGCCCTCTTCTGGCCTGCCGGCATACATGCAATACAGAATACTGTACACATAATAAATAAATCTTAAAAAAAACTACAATAAGAAGTTTGTGGTTCTACATTCTTTAGAGGATGAAAAGGAAGCCTTTATTATTTGAGCATAAAAAGAGTTGATTAATTTAAATCAAGATCAGATAAGCAAATTAAATAAACCTATAACTGCTAAAGAAATAGAAACAGTCATCAAAAAAAAAAAGAATTCTACATGATTTTCAAAGAAGAACTAATACCAATACTTCTCAAATTGTTCCACACAATAGAAAAAGAAGGAACATTGCCAAACTCTTTTTATGAGGCTACAATTACCCTGATACCCAAACCACACAAAGACATTACTAAGAAAGAGAATTACAGACCAATCTCACTCATAAACATTGATGCAAAATGCTCAATAAAACACTGGCAAATCAAATCCAAGAACACATCAGATCATCATCCACCATGATCAAGTCAGCTTCATCCCAGAAATGTAGGGATGGTTCAACATGCAAAAATCTGTCAGTGTCGGTTAATTCACCATATAAACAAACTGAAAAATAAAAACTACATGATCATCTCATTAGATGCCGAAAAAGCTTTTGATGAAATACAACATCCTTTCATGATAAAGGTCTTGGAAAGGACAAGGAACATACCTAAATATAATAAAGGTTGGTTACAGCAAACCAACAGCCAAGATCAAACTAATTGGAGAGAAACTCAAAGTGATCCCACTAAAATTAGGAACTAGACAAGGTTGTCTACTCTCTCCAAATCTATTCAATATAGTTCTTGAGTTCTAGCCAGAGCAATAAGACAACAAAAGGAGATCAAAGGAATACAAATAGGAAAAGAAGTCAAACTCTCACTGTTTACTGAGGATTATAATAGTTTATATGTGACTCCATAAAAAAGGTATTTTTATGAGTCTACAACTCATAAACACCTTCATTAATGTAGCAGGACACAAGATTAACTCAAAAAAAATCAATAGCCCTCCTTTATATATATGATAAATGGGCTGAGAAAGAAATCAGAGAAACATCACTCTTTACAACAGCCACAAATAGCATAAAATATCTTGGAGTAACTCTAACCAAACAAGTGGAAGACTTGTATGACAAGAACTTTAAATCTTTGAAGAAAGAAATTGAAGAAGACACCAAAAAATGCTCTCCCATGCTCTCGTGTAGGTAGAATTAACATAGTAAAAATGGTAATCTTACCAAAAGCAATTTACAGATTCAATGCAATACCCATGAAAATCCCAGCAAAATTCTTTACAGACCTTGAAAGAATAATACTCAACTTCATATGGAAAATCAAAAAAAAAAAAAAAACAGGATAGCCAAAACAATCCTGTACATTAAGGAACTTCTGGAGGCATCACAATCCCTAACTTCAAACTTTACTACAGAGGTACAGTACTGAAACAGCCTGGTATTGGCATAAGAACAGATAGGAGGACCAATGGAACTGAATCGAAGACCCAGATATTAATCCACACACGTTCGAACACTTGATTTTTGACAAAGAAGCAAAAAATATCAAATGGGGAAAAAAAGCAAATTCAACAAATGGTGCTTTCATAACTGGTTAGCAACATGTAGAAGAATGAAAATAGACCCATATCTATCACCATGCATAAAACTCAAGTCCAAAAGGATCAAAGACCTCAACATAAAACCAACCACACTGAACCTCATAGAAGAGAAAGTGGAAAGTACACTTGAATGCATTGGCACAGAAGACTCCTTCCTAAATATAACCCCAGTAGCACAGACACTGAGAGAAACAATTAATAAATGGGACCCCCTGAAACTGAAAAGCTTCTGTAAAGCAAAGGACACGGTCAACAAGACAAAAAGGCTGTCTACAGAATGGGAAAAGATCTTCACCAACTCCACATCAGACAGAAGACTAATATCCAAAAAATTGGTCATCAAAAGAACAAATAATCCAATAAGAAATGGAATACAGACCTAAACAGAAAACTCTCAACAGAGGAATCTAAAATGGCCGAAAGGCACTTAAGGAAATACTTAACATCCTTAGCCATCAGAGAAATGCAAATCAAAACAACTCTGAGATTCCATCTTACACCTGTAAGAATAGCCAACATTGCTGGGCCGTTGTCTCGAAAAACAAAACAAAACACCCCCCCCCAACAAAAAAAGGCCAACATAAAAAAAAATACTGATGATTTCTTATGCTGGAGAGGATATGGGGTAAAGGGAACACTCCTGCATTGCTGTGGGAGTGAAAACTGGTACAGCCCCTTTGGATATCAGTATATAGCGATTTTTCAGAAAATTAGGAAGCAACCTTTCTCAAGATCCAGCAATACCACTTTTGGATATAAACCCAAAGGATGCTCAATCATACCACAAGGAACTACGTTCATAGCAGAATTATTTGTCATAGTCAGAACCTGGAAACAACCTAAATGCACCTTGACCAAAGAATGGATAAAGAAGCTATGGTACTGTTACACAATGGAGCACTTCACAGTGGCAGGTGGGGGCTGGGGGGAGGAATAATGACATCTTGAAATTTGCAGGCTAGATGGATCTAGAAAACATCACATTGAGTGTGGTAACCCAGTCTCAGAAAGTCAAATATAATATGTGCTCACCCATATGTGGCTTTTAGATATAAAACAAAGAAAAACTAGCCTACAATTCACAACCACAGAGAATCTAGACAACAAAGAGGACCCTAAGAGAGACAAATATGGATCTAATCTACATGGGAAGTAGAAAAAGACAAAATCTTCTGAGTAAACTGGGAGCACGGGGACCATGGGAGAGGGTAGAAGGGCAGGGGAAGAAAGAGAGAGGAGTGGAGAAAAATATATAGCTGAATAAAAACAATAAAAAGGAAGAAAATGTGATTATATAATAAAATAAGAAGAATTGGTTGAAGGGTAAGGGGCAGAGGGAAGTCAGAGCAGGGTACACCTGGAGAGAAGACCCAGACTTGTCAGACTGCGATTGTACATGCACTTTAGTACTGAGAAATATTCCGTTCCATATTTCGTTCAGAAACCTGGAAGTTATTTCTTACTCTCTAAATACACTTCCACCCTTCTGTCCTGCTACACAGGGACACACTCCATTGGAAACAGGTATGGTTGTACCACTCTGCATTCCTTCCCTGTGACCCACACACCGACAAACATTTCAGCAAGGCTACGTGCAGCAATGACAGACACCACCTTTGGGCTCAGTGACCTCACCTGCTGTCTCTTCCATTCTGCAGCGCGGTGTACCGGTCCGTGGTCCTCTCACACACATACGTGTTCCTTCTTGCCATGCTCCCTCCAGAATACACGTTGTTCTTTATAAAGAAGAAAATCAATTTAAAAATCTTAACTATATTAGTGTGAAATCAAATTATCAAAAAAATTTCAAAGCATAATTTTAATTGAGTAGACTCACATAAGCAAGATCTATTTTTCTTCTTTCTCATATTTAGATTTTAGAAATGACAAGTGAATCAAAAGAAAACCAAAACAGCAAAAGACAAAATAAACAAACAAACCCCACCAGACCACAGCCACTACTGTTTTAGTTTATAGTTCCACAGAGGCAGACAATGGCATTGGGAAGCACAGGAAGCAGGCTGCATTCTCTCAGGGAGTGCCTGGCTGAGAAGGGGCCGAGCAGAGAGTGACCCTGCCCTCAGTCTCAGTACGGACAGGGCAATGGAGGCGGCAGTTCCTCCAGAAGCCTGTGCTCTTCTCTGCCTACTCATCAACTTCACTTCTCTCCAGGTCGGTGCCTGCCTGCTGAGTGTTGATGGGGGGCTGAGGAGTGCAATAGAAGACACTGCCCATAGCTCCCCTGCCCATAGGCCCCTGTTTGAGTTAGGAGACAGGCCACATGTAAACAAGAGAAAGAATAGCAAAAAAGGGGTAGACAGATGAGCTAGCCTCCTAATCACACAAAGACCCTACACCATCATGCCTGCCAAACACTATTTGTTACCAGCAATAAAAAGGACAGGGGTGACTGTCCGTATCTTGTGTTTCCATTTTGTTGTTGTTTGTAGTGCTGGGACTCCGACCCTGGGTCTTGAACATGCTAGGCAAGCACTTTACTAGCTGGGCCACCCCAAGCCCGGGAGGAGTGATTCAAAAGGGATAAAACACTCTTCCATCTTTGCTCCACTGGAAAATATCTTCCTACCTATTCTAGCTTCTATAATTCTTGAAAATACACAGTTAATCTAACATTTGTTTAGTATGAGCACTAGAAATTTAATAGGTATTTCCTCGAACTCAGATGCAGAAGGGGAAAATCATACAAGTAACTTTATATAAGTACAGTTTTAAAGATCTTTCAGTTTGCTGGAGAGATATCTCAGCAGTCCTCTGCAGAGGACCCGAGTCTCCTAGCCTCCATCTCAGAAGCTCACAACTTCCTGTGCTCCTCTGGGGAATCCAATGACCTCTTCAGGCCTCTGAGGATGGCTGCATACCTGCAGCAACCACACACACACACACTCACATGAATAAAGATAATAAATCTTTAAAAAAAAAAAAAAGAAGGAACAGAATCATAGAAGAATGCACATCACCCAAAAAGAAAGGCTGAGTATATCTTGACATATGTGTCAATAGGTAGCAATTAAAACCATGCATTTTTTACAAAGATTTTCATGCTCCCATCTAGAAGGAACCTGCAAACCTTAAAAACAAAATACAGTTGTGGAATATTTGTACACTGTGTGAATATATATTGCTGTGATTGGTGTAATAAAGAGCTGAATGGCCAAGAGCTAGGGAGGTAGAGGTTAGGCCAGACTTCCAGGAACAGAGAGGACTCTGGGAAGAAGAAAGTCAGAGTTGCTAGCGAGACATGAAGGAAGAAGGATGGGCAGTGCCAAGCAAGGTAAGGCCACGTGGCAGAATGTAGGTTAATAGAAACGGTTAATTTAAGTTATAAGAGCTAGTAGAGAACAAGCCTGAGCTAAGGGCCAAGGTTTAGTAATTAATAATAAATTTCCATGTTCTTTTTTGTGAGCAATGAAAAAGCTTCCTGATGTGGGAGTGATTTCTTTCTAATCTGTTGCTTTCATTGGTTAATTAATAACGAAACTGCCTTGGCCCATTTAATAGGCCAACCCTTAGGTGGGTGGAGTAAACAGAACAGAATGCTAGGAGAAAGAAGCTGAGTCAGGAGTCGCCATGAATTCTACATGCAGAATTGCCCTAACTGTTATGGAAAGATGAAATAGCTATGCTATGTCCACTTCTGTTTTCTCCAGCAAAAGAAGAACCTACAGAAGAACCCACCCCAAGCAATTAGAATGAGTTATTTCATAAGTTCAGGATGAAAAGGAATAGATAGCAAAGGGGAGACTATAAATTTTGACAGAATCTTTTGGTTTATGATTGTTTAAAATGTTAAATAATGTAGTATAATTAATCTAACTTAATGCCTTTTAGAAGTTAATCAATAAAGCCTGAGTACTCACTGTTCACCTCAGCATTACAGATTCTGAGGAAGCTCCTGTGTCAATACACAGAGGACTATGAGCATGGGGAAACTGTACAAACATGGCAGCACCTGGCTCAGAACTGAGCGGGACACAGCTACGGGCAGGCTGGGGAGATATGGAGTAGCTACCACAGGGAATTCCCCTAGGGACACAGGACTTGCACGATTGGTAGTAATGGGATTAGGTTGCAGTTGCACATAAGGGCAGACACGGAGGGAGAAAGCTACATTGGCCATGCAGAGAAGGTCCAATATGAGTGGACCATAGGCTAATGTGGAGGGTGGTGGAAGGCACAGGAACAGTGCACTTTTACTGCTACATGGAGCGCTGACTTTTGAAACAGTCCTCCAGCTCACAGGGAAGTACTGAAAAAAAAAATGCCTTTTTATCCTTCCCAAGTAGATCAGGTAGAGGAGAGGAAGCAGCTATACCACCATTCTTTACTTTTCTGTGTGAGCGTTTTGCCTGCATGTATGTAAGTGCATCACATGGAGGCCAGAGGAGGGTGCTGGATCACCTGGAGCTGTAGTTGTGAGCTACCATGTGGGTCCTGGGAACCAAGCCTGGTCCTCTGTAAGAGCAAGTGCTCTTGATTACGGAGCCATCCCTCCAGATTTAATATACCACCCATTCTCAAAGGCATGTGCATTCACTTCTTAGACTAGGAAGTGCTGAGCTAGTGACATATTTGAAAAAAGCATGGTCTCAGTAACCACACAGAACAGTGGCATCAGACAACCTACTTGTGATGAAGGTGTGCTGGCTTTGCTTTTGGCATATCACTGCAGATTTTCTACCTAAAGTGACCCACAATACATTAAATAAAGGGTTCTTTTCCCCCTGCTGATTAGAGTTGATTCTATTTCATTCATGTTGTTCACCCTTATTTATGTTCCTGAATCATGTCCGATCACCAATATCAATTTCTTAACCTTATTCTCATCATCTGCCCAGCAAGGTTCTAATCTCCGCCCCGTCCTTACTCCCATGTTTCTGTTCTAATCTCCACCCCACCCTTACTCCGGCGTTTCTGTTCTAATCTCTGCCTCTTCCTTACTCCCGTGTTTCTGTTCTAATCTCTGCCCTGTCCTTACTCCCGTGTTTATGTTCTAATCTCTGCCCTGAATATTACTCAGAATTTTCAGTATGTAAACATGTGTGCATGTGTGTCTGTGCACTTACATGTGGAAGTCAGAGGAAACCTTTTTCTCCTCCCACTCTGGGGTCCTGAATGAAGCTCAAGCTTGTCAGACATGATGACAAGCCCCCTTACCCAATAAGCCATTTCACTGGCCCTTACTAAGTTACCTGAGTACACTTAACTCTTGTATATTTTATATCAACATGTTATATTCTTTCTCTTTCTGTAACAATACTTTCTTTAGTACAGTGTTTTTAAATCGTCACTGTGCAGTCAAATAGCTGACATATTTTATGCCTAAGAATATTATTGTATTTTATATTTGAGTGACAGTTTGGCTAGATATAAAATTCTAGACCTAAAATGCTTTCCTTTTACCCCTGAAAGTTTAAAAATACCATTGCATCTTCTGGCATCCACACTACTGAAAGCAATCTAACTTTGCTCCTTTTATGGTCATCAGTTCTTCCTCTAAAATCTTTAAAGATGGCTCACCTTGTTTTCTGGGCATCTACACAATCTGCTTTAGCAAGCCCAGGAACACATTTTCTTCTGGCTTCTGTTTGCCATCCTGGGCCTTCTCTTTTTACTGTTATCATTCCTTCAAATACTCCCTGTATGGCCTCAGAACACTATTATCTAGATGCTGCCCACTCTATTCTCGCCCTTCCATCTCTGTTTTCATTCTGTCTCTATGTCCTGCTCCTTCCAGGACAGTACTGCGGCCTCTCTTCTAGGTCCCAATATAATTTCTAGAGGGTGGCATTTTAAGAGACTTCGTGGGACATAAGTGGACAAATTATTAATGAGTCTGCCCTCAAAGAGCAGTTTACGAGTAAATGTAAGATTAAATGCACCAATGTATCATCAGGTAAATATCTCAAAAGCAGAACCAAGCAGCAGGGGCTTAATGTTCCATTCTGAAGTGAGGCTACGGATTTCAGAATTTTATCTGGTTGCAGGGCCTCGTGCTTAGAATCCCACTATCAAGAGGCTGAAGTCAGAGGACTACTGTTGCTGTGAGCTCCAGGCTAGCTTAGGCTACTGAGGAAAATGTCTTAAAACAACAACAACAAAGAATTCTCTGCACTATTTTGTTCAGTTACATTCATGAGAAGCTTGGGCCCTTTTTCATGGTCTTTAAATTATGATTCATTTTGAAACATTTAAAAAGACAAAAGACAAAGCTATTACAAAATCCCAGTGCCACATAAGATCAAGCTGTGATACAGGAGAGCTCTGACTCACACTCGGGCCAGCAGAAGACTTTTTCCTGTCCGGACCCACCAGGGGGCTGGCTGTCACTTCACTCTTGGATCCCACCATCGTGCTGCCAAGTCTTCGGGCTGTGTCTTTGTCCCAGTCCTCCTTCTGTTCACTTTCCACACTGTTGGCCTGGGGCCTTTTGGTGTATGACACAGCGGGGGGGATGGAGGGACCAGCTGCAAAGTGTAGGAATAGCTAAGTTAGCTGGGAAGCCACGGATAGACTTCCCACAAAAAAGTCTCCGCGTTTGTGTGCTTTACACTCTCAACTAAGATGAGATTGTTTACACAAATCAGTTTGGGTCTCCACAATAGAGATCCTACTGATTGTCTAATGCTGAAAGTCTGTGAGAAGGGCTAAGAACGGAAGGAAAGGGAAGTGTGTATTGGGTAAGACACACACACACACCACGCACACACACAAACACAGCTAGCCTGTCTCTCATTCTTAGATTTGCTCTCCCACCATGGTCACTGAAGCGACGCTGCTTCTGGTTGGCTGAGATGCTTCGCTGGACCTTCAGGTGAGCCGGGGACTGAAGAGTGCTGTTGTTCAGGTCACTGCTCGGCCGGGATCGCTGACACAGGTTTCCACTGGACAGTGACTCACCACCTTCAAACTGAGAAGAGCGATCACCCAGATTTTAAAACAGCAAAGTGTTTGCATACATAGAATGATTTGAAGCTCTGTAAGGAGCAATTGAAACTAAAAAACAGACTTTAAACTGGCAAGAAGGAAGGGAGGAAGCTGGGTATTAGAACGCTCACACTAATGTAATCTGCTACTGTGCTCGACTCCTCAGTTTAGCTAAAACAAGTAAGAGCCACGAAGCACTGCATGGTAACCGCATAGCAGACAGTTTTTAAGTGTTTACATGTTACTTTGTTTAATCATTGCTACAAACCCGTGATATATTAACCTGCACTCTCCAGATGGAAAAAAAACCAAGGTTGAGGACATCACTGGGTTTCAAACAGGAGACAATCTAAAATCTATTTTTTTTGAGACAGGGTTTCTCTGTAGCTGACCATGATAAGCTGGGGCTGACACACAGCCTCTCTCTGTAATTTGAAAGCTGTACCATGCTGCTAAGGTTCGGAGCCAACCCTGGGACTGCACTGGGAAGTCAGGCTGTTGGAGTCAAGCAGTAAGAATGCTGCTGGCTATAGCAGCAGGGCTGTGGAGAGGTGATCCACCAACACTATTCTAAGTGTGTCAACGATTACCGTACTAACAAGGATTACTGTACTAAACCTGTTCAACGGCCCTAAGAGCTAAGTACTTTTGTCCATATTTCACAGAAAATGAAGGACGTACTTGGTGGCTCTGATGGGGGCAGTGAGCCTGATTTGCCATTCATGGTAGCTTCCAATACAATTTATTTCCAATACAATTCATATTTGATTTTAATAGATGCCTGGAATTTGTGTTTGAATTAAAAAGAAAATTAAAGTCCCCAGAGGTCATTTGAAATCTAAATAGGAACAGTCGGAAGAGGCTAGAAACAACTATTTGGGCCATTCCCGCTAGCTCTCTTGAGACTGCGCACGGCCCCTGGTTCCCTTGGAGACCTCTCTCCATGTAGCAGCTGTTCTTCCTGCTCGGTCGGCTCGCCAAGGGCTCAGACAAGTTAATGCCTGTGATGGTTACAACAGTTCCTAGCACGTGCATGCTATATACGGGTAACAACTCCCACACTGTAATCAAATCCTTGCTCCAAATCCAGATCTTTATACCCCATCTCTCCTATAAGTGCCATCCAACAAGACTGTCCTCCCACCACCCTGCACTGAGCTAGATTCTCAGTCCACTTGCCCTTCTGATAAAGCCATGCGCCCTCCTGACATGCCACCTTACACAAGCCACGTGCCCTCCTGACATGCCACCTTACACAAGCCACGTGCCTACTGACACGCCACCTTAGACAGCAGGCACCTGTGAGAAATCAGGGCTCATTCCGTCTTCCCAATGGCATGTCACATGGACCACCATGGTGGGTTTCACCCTAGCTCGTTACAGGTGCCAGCTCTCATCCACTCGCAGAGTGTCTGCAGCATGCCCCATGGCCAACAATAATGCTGCTGAGAGCTACATCGAGGGCTCCTGGACAGAAGGACTTCCGGGCTTTACCCTCATGGTGTCAGCATAGCTTCTGACAGAGACAGCTTCAATAAACTTCAGTTGGAATGTATGATTTTGTTCATAGCTGGTATTTAATTATGATTAATTATAGCCTTTTCTTTTTCTTTCAGAATGCCTCCCACAGATGTCTAGATTTCAACTTTCAATGATCTGGCCTCGGTTCCTATTTCAGTTCATCCTTCTATAGCTGCTTTTCCAAAGCATCATTTACTCGCGTGGCCACCACTTGCACACAGTCATTTCCTGCACTGTCTGCTTAACATGGACCTCTGCTGCCTACCAGAAGAGCCACTTGACACAAGGCCAGTGCCAGGAGGCATCTTCTTCTGGGGGCTCAGGTATCTACGCTGCTGCAGACACACATGCTTCTCTTTGCTTAAGACCCTGTCGTACTGTAACTCACGATAATCACACTGCCTTTGGCTACACAGTGTGTACACTGTTAGTTGTGTTAGTTACACAACTAACTCTCGGGACACCATGCTCAAAGTGAGGACTGTGGGAAGAGCTGCTAGGGCCAAGCAGGGCAGTGGGCCTGCTCATTCCTAATGAGATCAGTATACAATTCAGCACCTTGATTTGTGATCTCTAATAAGACTGGTAGGATCTTCTTGTGATTTTTGGTTCCACAAAGAGACAAATATATTTACTAACATATCTTTATCCATTTAATTCAAGAATTAATCTATATTAATTTAAAAAGACAAAAAACTTACTTCGGGTGGTTTTCTACCTAGAAGAATATAAGTAGCCATGACTTCATCGTATTTCTGACTTACTAAGGCATCATTGATTTCATCTCGTGCAAAACCCATGGTGACCATAATGTCTAGAAAAAAAGAAAAGAGAAAAAGTTTCTGAAAATGTATCTATTTAGTAAACAATCAAGCAAAAATATAGGTCTGCCAATAATGTTAGGAAAAACTAGTTCTTAAAATATTCAAAGTGAGCTTTAACTATATATTCAGATACTATACATTTATAATTTTAACATTTATTTAATTGCTTTGCCTACATGTATCTGTGTGCATTACAGGCCTGCCTGGGGTCTGTGGACATCAGAAGAGGGCGTCAGCTCTCCTGGGACTGGAGCTACAGATGGCTGTGAGCCACAACCTGGGAGCAGGGAATTGAGCTTGGGTCTTCTACAAGGGCTACAAGTGTTCTTAACTGGTGAGTCATCTCTCCAGCCCCATTTCTAATTTTTTGTGTGCAGAACTATTTATGTTATGGAATTAATATGTTCAGCCAATTCTCATTTCCTGGGGGCATTTCTGAGCTGACTTCTTTTGTCCAGGCAAGGTCTGTACTGCCTGGGCCTCCCACGTGCCCACTCTTCGTTCTCTCCGCTCACTCTCTCAGCATCTTCTCGGCTACTCCTGAGGAGACAACTCTCTCGATCCAAGCCCTCTGCTTCCCTTTTCATCGGCAGTACACAGTTCTGGTATTAAGGCTTTCACAATGTTCTCATTAGGTCATGGGGTCAGGGAAGGTCTGCTAAGCAGAAAGGGAGAAGCAACGTGCCCACAGCTTAGATTTCTGTGTCCTGGACTTTGCTATACATTTTAGTCTGCTCAGTGCTAATAGTTCTAGTGGGTATTCTTCCAGTGAGGGGTGCAGGAAGAAATAAGTATGCTTGTCTAGTTTATTTTATTTTTTTGCTATAGTTTCTAATAATTGAACAGGACCACAGATATAAATGAAAACAAACTAAGGAACTTGAATACTTTAGTGTTGGCCATTAAGGTGATAATGAAAGTATTTTAAAATAAAAGCCCCACATGAACACTACTGTGCTAGGTCAATGGACCAGTTCTTGTAGTCTATGGCAGCGACCCTCACAGTATTTAAACACTTACCTATTCTTTTTGCATCATTGAGATCAAGCTCAGGCTCAGAATATGGTTTTAGTTCTTCTTCTTCATGACCAACATTCATCCATCGGTCTTTCATTATTTGCTAGGAAATAAACTCTAAGTCATGTCTGGTGGAATTACAACATTCAACCCACTCCTCAAATGTGAAATTTATTGGTTCACTCAACAAGAGTCATGTGACAATTTCAAATAAAGTTACTCTATCTACTTTAATTAATGGTCCAACAGAAGGTGTGGCTCTCTTGGACACCCAGAATGTTATCGCAACTAGACGAACCAGTACTCACAAAAAGCAATGCGAAACAACCCTCCTTCCTTTAAAAGGAATATTTTCAAATTAAAATGAATATTTTTAAATTGGAAAGTTTTAACATGAGAATCTGACTTTAACGTTTGTTCATTTTTGGCCTTTTATCAAACTCGTGCATTTATTTTAAAATTCCACTCATCAGAAAGAGGATATCTTGGGGGATGGAAATCTAGGCTAGTCAGTCCTGTTGAGTCAAAGAATTTGGGAAAGGATGATGGTAACCATTAAAGCCCAGAATCAGAAATTAGGTAACAATCAAGGTGAAAACAGGTACTGACGTGAATTATCAGAACCAAATACCCTGTGGTGTAAATGTCAGCCCTGGGCTGTTAAAGACAACCTAGTGGGGTCTAACCAAGGAGTGGGAGGGGACAGCTACAGCTGGGTGAGAGAGAACATCCAGCATACATAAAGCAACAAACTACAGCTCCAAACTTCTACTACTGGCTAAAAGCTATGCTTACACACAGAGGAGTGCTATGAAAATAACTGTTTTACAAGTTTACAGACACCCCCCTCCCCCAACACACACACACAATGCTAGAGCTTACTAACTGTAACTGGTACAAAGGGCTGGAAAGATGACTCAGAGGTTAAGAGCCCTAGTTGTTCTTCCAGAGGAACTAGTTTGATTCCCAGTACCTACAGATGGCTTTTAACCACCTGCAACTCCAGTTCCAGGGGATCCAATTCTGGTCTCCCCATCCATGCAGGTAAAACATTCACACACATAAAAATAAATAAAATTTAAAAAAAAACCATAAAAACTACAAATGAAGTTGTGGCCATATTTGCCACTATTGGGCTCCCGTGAGGGCAGATGGGCACACACGGCAGGGCTCAGCCAGTGTCATGTCCCCTCCAACCCCGTTGTCCATAGCCATGGCCTGTGTTATTCCATAGCCATGGACCTCAACAAGGGCCACAAAGTGACAAGACTGGGAGGAGATGAGCAACTTACTGGTATAGTCATGAGGAAGGTCATGGCCAAGCACTGATCTTCCCCTACCTCCTCCCCCAAGAAATGTTTGTGCTGAATAATAATAATAATATAATAATAATAAAATGAAGATCATGTAAGACAATTCTTGAGTTCACTACTACTTCAAGGGGGTTTCTGGAGGTTTGCTGTAAGAAATCCTTCCTCTAAAGAGAATGTATAAGACACATTGTGCATCAGTGGCACAGGTGTCATGGGAGTAACCAACCACCTTTTGACTGGATTTAAGCTCATTCCTTGACATGCTACCCAAACCTGACACTTCTAAAGTGGCCAAGAACTTGAGACTGGTTGTCATGGGCCTAGGTAAAAACCTACTACTTTTATTCTGCTAAAGAAATATAGCAATAGCCAGGTGCTGGTGGTGCACATCTTTAATCCGAGCACTCAGGAGGCAGAGGTAGGTGGATCTCTGTGAGTTCAAGGCCAGCCTGGTCTACAGAGAGAGTTCTGGAACAGGTTCCAAAGCTATAGAGAAACCCTGTCTTGAAAAAAACAAAAACAAAACAAAACAAAAAGCGCAATGCAATGACGTTTAATGATATATATTGCTAAAGGTCTGTATATCACTCCGCCCTCATCACTTCTTGCAGTAGATAGCAATTAACACAACTAGACAATGTGCAGGGTAACTTAGGAGCAGTCAGCCCTAAAAGGGATATCTTTATCAAACCCCTCCCCTCAAGGCTCAGGGATCTGTTCAAAAGAGGAAGTGGACCGATCATAAGAGCCAGAGGTGGTGGATGACTCCAAGGATACAACAGGGTTCATACACATAAACTCACAGAGACTGTGACAACTTACACAAGACCTGCACAGGTAAAACTACACAGAATCCAGCATGGAAAAGGGAGTGGACATAAGGTCCCACACCTAGGCAAGAAGCTATGTGCAGCTGGTAGTTGTTGGGATGCAGACAAATAGTTTTCTCCAGTGGAGTGTCACTGGGCACATCAACCACACTCCAAGGCAGGCCCCATGCCCAGGACTAGTTGGCCATCATAAAATGAACTCTGTGTTTTGTGTGTGCTGTTTATTTTGTTTTGGTCTCACTGCTTTCATTTTGACCTGGTCTTTTCAGGGACCTGTGACCAGCCTGTGTGTAGTCAAGTGTGTAGTACTGCATTTCTACCATGAACTCGTGGGTCAGCATCAGGCTGGAGAGACAGCTCAGCAGCTGGGAGCACTGCCTGCTCCTCTAGAGGACCCAGATTCAGTCCTCAGTGCCCACATGTCACCTCACAGCTGTCTCTAACTCTAGTTCCAAGGGATCCATGGACTAGACATACATGGGGCACATATATATACATGCAGGCAAAATACCCATACATATAAAGTAAAATTAAAAAAATCTTTAAAAAGTCTAATCATCATCATTAGCAAAAGTATATATTAAATTATACAATACAATGGACTCATTGTCATAAGATCAAAATTTTAGATAATAATTTGGCTTTTAAATTCTACTCCATGTACTCTAGTGTTTTAACACTCAGGGGTTCACTGGGCTTGCACTATGGCCCTGTGTGTGCCAGGCACAGGCTCTCGCATTGAGCTGTAGGGGCTCAGCTGCTGAGTCTGGCTTTGATCCTCAACTCTTCCACAGAAGCTGGGCTTATAAACCTATACCATGAGGTCTGCACAACTTGCAGCCTCATAATGTTAAGGATCAAAGAGTAAACCATTTGGATAACTATTCTGACCAAATCTGAAATCAGTAAATAGTCGTCTTTGAGGGAAGCACATTCATTTTTATTAGCAGCCCACAGAAGGTTGTAAGCACTGTCTCCCCAGGCGACTGTCTGCATTCTCTCTAATCTGCCTTTCTGTGAACTGCTGTCTCAGCTCTGGGAATCTGTTACTCACAGGCGAGTGAAGGGAGTTTTGGATAGGAGTGGATCCCACAGACACCTCCAGCCTCCCCTAGCACGAGCACTCAGTTACACACCCACATACATATGTACAATTTAAGTAAATCTTAAAAGAAAAAAAGCGGACCCCAGAGCTAGTTATAGACCCTCAGAACTAAGTCAGCGGTTTTCCATTCTGAGCCAACACACACTTTCTATGAATGGGTGGAAGTAAGCTGAGAAAAACAGTAGGACAGAAATGGGCTTTCACTAGAGACATCGGTATTAACATGTCATTTCACCCCCAAAGGAAAAGTCACAAAAAATTTGAGCTAAGAACTAATCACACCTGAACGAACAATGCAGTAAAAAATACCAATTGATCTGCTTCTTCAAAGCACTTAGTTTCCCAAGTCTTCAATTTCCACCAGAACATACTATGTCTTTTAGAAAAAGTATGTGTGGAAAAGAATGAGGATGCCCAAGTTGAGCTAAGCACTGTGAGCAGGGCTGGCTTCCCAGGGCTGCACCTCCACTGCACCTCATGGTGTGTGTGCAGAAAGCCCCCGGTGAAACAGAGCACTGAGCAGGAGCTTCACTGCGCTCCCTGTCCTTCCCACGCAGGAAGGAAGACTTTAAAAGTTCAAGTGAGGAATGGGTACTGAGTCTTTCAAACTCTAGGCCAAAATATTCCTAAAGACAGACGTGAAGGGGCCAGAGGGGCGGCTGGGAGAGTAAAAGCATTTTTCCCAGGTTGGGTTCCAGGCCTACATAGCAGCTCACAATCACCTGTGACTCTAGTTCCAGGGGATTTACCCCCATCTTCTGGCATCTCAGGGCACTGCATGTATGTAATCCACATACATGAAAGCAAACACTTTCAACCAAAGAAGACCCAGAGGGAAAAATGATCACCAGTTATCCCAGTTACAGCCTAAGAAGGGAAAGGGACTTGTCATCTTGGTTACTCGGACCTCTGCTGGTTCTGTAACAGTTAGGACATGAAGATGGTGTGTGCTCCAATATACTCTGCTCATGTCTGTAAATTCTCAGTACTGACGAGAAGTTCCTATTGCAGATTTTGGCTCCACGTGATTCCAGATGAAGAGTTAACTGGTTTAGAGTTTCCACAATCATTTTCAACCTTCAAAGATCTGGTCAGTCTTAACATAAAGGTTTTCGTTTTGGACCACGTGGTTTCTGACACAGGCTAGGTTTATCCCCTTCAAAAGTCAACTTTGGTGGTGGCGCTCGCCTTTAATCCCAGCATTCAGGAGGCAGAGGCAGGTGGATCTTTGAATCCGAGGCCTGGTCTATAAGGTGAGCTCACAGCCAGGAGTATACAGAGGAACCCTGGCTGGGGGGCTGAGGGCGTCAACTTTGCCTCCACTGTGTCCGTTTTAATAACTCACCAAAGAATGAAGAAGAAATAAGCCTTTGGAGAGACCTACTGTGGTTTTTCAATAAAGAACCATTACTTCCTGATGCTGAAAAGGCAAACTAGATGCTGGGCCGACACTGGGAACCGCACCTGCAGTGTCTCTGCTGTGTGCTGACTGTGTACCTGGAACCCACAGCACACTCACCTCCAAGCTGCCCCTCTTTATGGGGTTCAGCACTAACAGTTTCTTCAGGAGATTCTCGCAGTCTGTGGACATGTAGAAGGGAATGCGGTATTTCCCCCTGAGGACTCGCTCACGAAGTTCCTTGGACAAAGAAGGAAAGCGTTTGTAAGTAGTAGTTGGCATTACAGCTCCTGGGGAGAAGGGCATCAGCACCAAACAGCAGGTACCTTTAGGTTCTGGCCATCAAAGGGCAGGGAGCCACTGACCAGCGTGTAGAGAATGACGCCCAGACTCCACACATCCACTTCTGGCCCATCATACTTCTTGCCTTGGAAAAGCTCGGGGGCAGCGTAAGGCGGGCTTCCACAGAAAGTGTCCAATTTGTTCCCCACTGTGAATTCATTGCTAAAACCAAAGTCAGCAATTTTAATATTCATATCAGCATCAAGGAGAAGGTTTTCAGCCTAAGAGGAAAATAATAAAAAGGACAATGTAAAAAGTGCACACAAAATAAAGATGTCCGCTGCACTTCTCTCAGATGCTAAGTCTGCTAGTGCCTGCCTCTCATTTAAGACTAACATCCAGTTCTGCAGTGCACAGCTGTCCAAGTGACATCTGCGCAAGACTGGATTCTAACACTTGAAAAAGAAAGCACATAGGACTATTTCAGAAAGGTTATTTTAAACACCATCCCCACAGTTTATTTTAAAGGTTTTTAACTTCATGGTAAGAGGCATCTTGGAACTGTACCTTAACAGGACCTACCTATTCTAAAGAATACACATTGAAATTCCACTTTGCCCCAGACTTAAGCCAAGATTAGCCAGAGGAGCACCATCTGAACAAGCAGTTGATGGCAGGCTCCAGGGTATGTCGGGTCTGTGGCTCCTTTACTCCGTCCCCTGTCCTCTCCTACAGAGCACTTCCTCAACAAAGCAGTGCTTAGTGAAAGGAAACAAGTGGACAACTGGGCTCCCACGGTCTTTATTTTCAGCAGCGTTTGCTGTTCTAAATGCTGACTCCTGTCGAGAGTCACGTTCTGGAGGAAGCAAGGACTCCCATGTTCAAGAGACTTTTCCTAAAATTCTAAAACAATCACCCAATGGAAACTTCTATAAATGCAAACAATTTAATGAAAACTTGCTTTTTGGTGCACGTTTCATGTAAATTCCATTTTTAATTGATGGATAAACAGACTAATAAAGTTACAGGCTGGTTTGTAGGTTGCTTGATCAAAGTCCAGAAAGGAGTAAAATTTGACCAAGATGAAAACCAGAGGACTGGTGCTTCACCTCTAAGATTCAATAGGGGGTTAATGTCTCTGAAATCTCTTATCTGGACTTAATAACTCCAACTCCTAATCCTGGGAACTTTTTTGACTCAATAGAGACATTTAGGTACATATGAGAAAACAACACTTGGAGCATTAACCATGTCTCACAGTTCTGGAAAGGAGAGTAAGGCATGTAGACACAGAACAGGGAAAAGCCTCAGAAATACACAAACTGTCAACTGTTGAGATAAAGTTCCTTGGATAGTCATCATATAGAATCAATGATAAGATCTAGTATATTCTGATGGGAATAACGCAATGTAAAATATGGGATGGGTAGATCCATCTTTACCATACAAAGGAGCTCACATTGGTAGGAGAAGTATGGTATAAAGAAATAGGAAAGAATGCTTTGTCAAAGTCGGCTCTTACAGAGAGATGGAGACATGGAACCCTCTTGTGGGAAAGGAAACTGTATAAAAATATATCTTGTAGACATGAAAGAATTGTCTGGGTTTGAATATTGTTGTCCTTAAAGCATTGTGCCCATGTCTATTACTTTTAACTTTGTAACTTCAGGTAGCTGCCAGTTGACATCAGTGCTGCAAGAGCAGGATTACCTGGCTCGATATTTAGTTAAGCCTGCACAAATGCTGAACTCTATGTCTGGAATAAGTCTATGCAGAGGGTGGGAAGGTGTATTGGGGAAGCATAAAGGGGAACAATGGGGGCCTTGGTAACGATCCCGATTAGTCCTTAAAATGTGATGTATTTCTTAAAGTCAAAAATAAAAGCCAAAAATAAAGCTGTTCATGTAAGCTTGGTATGAAAAACTCTGTTTAAGTATAAATAAAGATGGCCCGCACTATTCAGGGCCACTTGAGTGCAATCTACTTGGTGGTCAAAAGTTTTCCTTGCGCTGACATCCCTTCCCTGCCTCAGTACTCGACCCGAGCTAAGGCTGGACCCCGGCAGATAGAATTCTGTATTTATCTACTTAAAATGTTAGTTAATAATCAATCAAGTCCTCTCACTTTGACATTAAACAAAGTCATGCCCATGTTTTCATGTGCTTAGTGAACACAGTGTCTTTCATAAGCTATGGTGTCATATCTATAAAGCCACCTCATCCTGTGCTTGAAATGCTGGGTAACTGTAAGAGGTGGCCCTAACTTACTATGGCAAATTCTAAGTGTGTGTGGCGATATGGATGGAGTCCAGAGGAAGACCCCAGTGTCCTGCAGTCTCACCTCTGCTTTATTCCCTAAAGACAGAACTACTCACTGCATCTGACACTGGCGGTTTCACCTAGGCTGGCCAGTGAGCTCCCAGGCCCTGCCAGGCTCTGCCTCCAAATGCTGGAGTTATAGGCATGCACAGCCCTACCAGGTTTTTATTAAGTGCTGGGGATTTGAAAACAGGTCCTCATGTTTGCAAAGCAAGTGGTCTTATTTATAGAGCCATCTCCCCAGTCCCAGCCCTCTTATTATTACATACTTTCATAATTAAGATTTTAATTTTAAAAGCAGCAGCTTACCTTAAGATCACGATGAACAATGCATTTTTGATGACAATACTGTACAGCAGAAACAATCTGAAATAAATATTTGGATAAAAAGTCAAAATTATTTTATGGTTAAATACCTGATTTTCAAAATTATTACTTCAATTTGATAAAATACTAACTTTGATTTAAAAATAATAGCAATTTCATGATTAGTTTAGAAAACTATGCTTATTAAAGAGATGAATGTTTTAAATGTGGAAAGTAAATTCTCTTGTGGAAACATACTCTAATTTCTTTTGGTCAACGTCCATGGAAATTCTCTATACTCATCAAATTTTTCTGTTTACATGAGCCAAAGTATGTAATTTGTAATTTAGAAGACGGGTTCACTTCAGTGTTGAAAGAAGGCTTTGGCCCATGTAAACTAGCATTCAAGATGCTGTGTGGGGCTAATGCAAAGTGTATTTGGGAAATATATCACATTTGTTCAAGGCATATTTCCTTAATTTATCAAGAACTAATTAGTGAAGTATTTACAATATCTCATATTTTCTGCTCAAATGTAAAGAAATAGGAAAAAACTAACCCTCAAAAGAAAAAAAATAAGATACAAGTTAATCTTACATTTGCCTTTAATTCAGCTGGACAAATTACTGTGCACTGTTTATACATTTTGCAGCCAGAGCTAGTGTATAGGACTCTGGGATAAGGGCCAGGGAGGGAAATGTCTGACAGTGTAAAGGCCTTGACTACAAAAAAGAAACAGATTATAAGCTTTTCTGTGACAAGTCTTTAAAAGAGAGAACTCACGGCTGGCAAAGAGCTAACTTGTATGTGTAATTCTATCTGGAACCTAAAAGGCTGGTCATTTTAATGCAGAGCGGTGGGGTCGGTTAAAGGTGCTTCCAGTACGGATGTGAGTTAGCTGTTCACAAATGCAGACAGAAACGAGACTCCCGAAAGTCTAATGGAGCAGGGAGTATGGCTGTGTTAACAGAAATGAGGGAAAAGGAATTCCACGCAGAGGGAAAGTGGCATTTCAGTGCTAGGAAATCATCCAAATGTATGTTAAAATGGTTCAGAGACAAGACATGAATTTGAAAAAAAACAAAACCACCAACACACATGAGTAAATAATTCAATTAAACTCATTTGATTCAAGTCAGTTTATTGAGTACCTGCTATGTGCCTTTTCCTAGGGGGAGTACAGACATGAACATTGCATGAGCACCACCCTTACGGGGCTGAAAGCGAGTAATATAATTCAAGGGAGACTCTCAGAAGCAGGGGTACAAAGAAGTGAGGGCTCATGAAAATGAATGATGTTCACAGAAATGCTTCTCGGAGGACATGCCTTTGGTGGAGGGTGTCCTTGAAGGACAGGAACAGTTGAGATTTTTGGTAAGAGAGAGTGGGGGTACAGGGGTGAGATAGGTTAATGGTGAGGGAACATGATATATTCATAATGCTAATGGAATCAAGCTTTGAGAGACAGATTGGTCAAAGTCCCTGGATTCCTTCCATACTGAGCAAATACTGCGGTCACTAAATGTCTGGGGCAGGATGACAATGCCTTGAGCATCTTCAGTATGAGTCCCCACGTACAGCAGAGCAACAATAAACATTTGTAAGATTCTGAAGCAGCTCGCTTCAAAGTTCTAAGACTCGATTTTCACTCAGTTAAGCCTGTTGGTCGCAGGATCCATTTGCATGCTGTTTTACTGGTACACTACAGAGGTAACAGTGTTCAGGGTACCAGGCTCCTTCTCTATGCTGGTAACACTGCTGTCCTTACAGGTCACATCCTGTACGACACAGTGAAGGTGTGCTACAGTGATTTGGTTACCAAGTGTGACCAGAGGCCATGGGCTCACACGTGATAGGACAGTCTTTATGCAAGCAGTTCACGGACATTTCTGCAATAAGAATTGTCCTCAGCTCAAAGCTTTAACAGCAGAAGCTAACATAAGAGAATGCTGCATGAAGCACATATTCTCCACAGAAAATGCCCTCTGAGCTGGTGCTCAAGAGGGGCATTTAAGGTGCCACCACACTCCCCTAGCAAGACACCATGTCTGACAAGAAAGTTGTTTGGGCTTCTGACTCACCACGTGAGCCTCCACCCTGAAGCCCACGTTTCATCACACTGGCCTATAGCAGACTGCCACCTGAGAACATCCCAGGAGCAGGATGCAGAGACTTCTCTATGAGACTTCCATGTGGACCTTGAGAACAGGATTTACAAGCAGGCATGTGCTGACCTTCAGGCTCCACATGTGTTGCTGGGGGAAGTTTTGCAATGACATACATGGGTCAGGAATTCCTATTCTCTCAGTAGTAGGCTTGCTTGACCTTGGGATCAATACTATAATTTTGAACATAAGACTTATTTTCATTGTATGTAGATAGGTGTTTTGATACATTTATGTCAGCATGACACAAGTGTGCAATGCTCACAGAGGCCAGAAAAAGGCATGCGACTTCTGGGACTGGAGATTCAGATGGTTGTGAGCTACTATGTGGGTGCTGGGAATTGAACCAGGTCCTCTGGAAGAGCAGGAAGCACACTTCCCCATCCCCAATACTATGGTGTGTGTGTGTGTGAGTGTGTGTGCACGTGCATGTGTGTGTATACATGTGTTTGCACACCCTCACAGCATACGGAATGCAGAGGCATTGTGCTGGCAATGGTGGCTAAAATGGTCTTAAACTGTGTATTGTTTTTAGCATACCAAATAGCAGAATCAAGGGCATGAATCTATATAACCTTGTTATGTAGTTCATTTTTTCAATGTTAATATAAAAAGTCATAAATAAAAGTAAATACACATTTTGGGGGGGGGGGGCTGGGGCTAAAGATCTAAACCTACACTCTGTCCTGCTCCCATTGACCACAATGGTTGACTGCTCTTACAACACAAGTTTTTTCGCCAAGTACAACTTTCTACACTTGCCATGTTTTAGAAGACAAGTAAAACCAGCAGGCTAAAAAGAAAAAGAATAAATGAGGATCATCTTTAAAATATACACAAGGATCTCAAGGGGGACACGCAGTAAACAACTGGAATTTTCTTACTCATCTGCTACTAACAAGGACTGACAAGGAAGGAGATAACCGGAGTGCTTGACCAGATAGCAAGAAATTCCAACCCCAGGACAGGAAAGAATGCAATGGGAAGAGGCTCAGCACAGCCCAGGCTCTTATTGTTGCTTTCCCATTACCAGCTGTTTCCATAGCCACTGTTTATTTTGCTTTTTAAAGGCAAGGAAGCAAAACTTACTGAGCAGAGCAACAGCTCCTCTCCTGCAGCAGGGAGGAGCTTCCCATCAACTGCTCTGGACCACTGCCTTCCCTGTGCACTGCTCCCGAGCACGGCATGTGCACTGAGGTGAGAGGACAACTTTCAGGAGCCAGTCCTGCCCTGCCCTCCCTCCATATGGTTCCTGGGCACTGAACTCGGGCTGTCCAGCTTGGTGGCAAATGCCTTTGCTCCCTCAGCCACTTCATAGCCTCCCACCCGCTCTTATGAGCAACTAACTGTGGGGATCTACCGGAACAATGGAGACATAGGGGACAAAGCTACCACAAAATCATTTTGAAAGGTTAGGCCACAAAGTGAAGCAGGTCCACTCGCGACAAGGGCCTCTCTGGTTAAAGAACTGCCCTCCATGGAAAGCTATCCTAGAGGAAGACCTCAAGAACACTTTCATTGCTCAACAGACTGATTACAGAACAGTTTGGTTTTGGTTTTTCAAGGCACTTTTTTTTTTTTAAAAAAAAAAAAAAAAAACCCTGGTCTAGCTCTGTAGACCAGGCTGGCCTTGAACTCACAGAGATCTGCCTGCCTCTGCCTCCTGAGTGTTGGGATTAAAGGCAGGCGTCACCACTGCCCAATTTACAAAATGTTTTTTAAATGCAGAATCAGTGTAATGATCACAGATGAGGACCTAAATTACCTTAAAATAAAAATTCTTACTTCCCTAAGGGCAAGTCTAGCATATAACACACCACTGCAGCCTTACTTCAGTACATTTTATGGATAATTCACAATTCACTACTCATTTATATAGTAATTTATAAAGTATATTTTTTCAGCCTAGTTGTCCAACAACAGATGAATAGTTAATGAAAGCCTGGTATATATAAGAATGGAGTACTATTCAGCTTTAAAGAAAAATGTAAAAAAATGACAAAATTTGCAGTAAAATGAATGGACTTAGAATGTATAAAATTAGGTGACGTCTTACAATCTAAGAAAATCCCCCACGTTCTTCCTCATATTTGGGATCTAGCCAGTGTGTGTGTGTGTACACACGTACATACACTGGCTATAAACGCTCAGCAGCATTTTCATTTTTGGTGGTAGGTAAGTACATAAAATATATATCCAACAGGGAAAGTATAAAAATCCAATGTGAAGCACCACAGCTTTTGCTCTGAAAAGTTTGGTCCCTCTAACTGTATAGAAGTTCGCTGAGATGTATAAACTTATGGTTTAGTTAATTTTAGTATGCATTTTTTAATATGCAAGTGTTTTTGAATAAACTGTGTAAAAATAAAACTAAACATAATACAGCTTCAAAAATTAAAAGTAAAATTCTAAATGTGTTTTATTCTTTTAAAAACCACCTTCTCTCACTCTGTCCTTCCTCCAAGAAGCTACACTGATGCTAAGATGGAACTGTGTCTCCACCACACTTGCATTTTCCTCACATATGAAGCTAAGTAAAACTGACCACACTCCTTAAGCCTGAAATGAATTTTTAAAACCAATATATATTTAGTTATAAAAGAAAAAATATCTTCTTTACATATATGTAATACACACACAAAGCAAACAGGACTTGATAATAATCTCTGGCCATATCAGAGGTTTGGGTATTTACTTCTTTGTCTCAGTCATCTGGCCCAAGGTTTTCAGATTCAAACACCGAGTCTAACTTATGAAATGTCACCATTCATGGTCATCTCAAAACAACCATCTGCAACTACTATTTTAAAGCAAAATTCAGGGGAAATGGGTTTCTTTTCTAGGAATTTTCCATTCTTAAAAACTGTAAGAAAGGAGAATTTTTCTTTTGAAAAATCCATGTACTCTCAAAGCTGTTTGTGATACTGCCCATTGCACACCACTAAAAACATCAGCAAAACAAAGTTGAAAACCACTTTCCATACCTGCCTAAATTTTGCACGTGCCTCTTTTTCTTTCATCCTTCCGTGGGCAACTAAGTAATCAAACACTTCACCTGAATCAGAAAGGTAAAGCAGGCAATAAATATACATTGATTTTGGTTAACAATATACGCAATGCCAAGTTTTGGCCTCAGTTTTCAAGAATCACTTGGTCTACCATTTTCTGTTATGTTTATACAAGTCACAAACTAACATAGGCATAGGAAAAAATTATGTGTGGAACTGAGAACCTGTAGCAATTTATGATCTAGAAAAACTCTTAAAAAAAATAACCAAGAAAATGTGTTCTCCACAAGTTACATGAAATACAGTCAACTCTTTATTACCCGTTCTAGTGAAGGGAAGCCACAGGGCAGTCCAATGTCACCCTTGGCGCTGGCGTTGTGGCCTCAGCTACAAAGTACTCACATGCTTTCTCTTAAGTTCCACTCCAGTCTGGTCCAACTCCATCATTCTTCTCTGTTCTATATGCTGATTAGGCCTATCACATGTCCTCATACACCCTGGCAGCTAACCACAAGTGACACAGAATCCTGTCACCCTTGTTTGCACTCTGCTGTCCCAAATGCACCTTCCTCTCCACGACAGAATACAGAGTGGGCATGCAGCAAATGTGCACTGAACTTATTAACAAAGTAGACAGTGCTGACATTTTCTATTGAACGTAACTATCTATATTTCTACATAAGATTTAGAATTTTTTTCTGGTTGACAATAGTTTAGACAATTAACATCAAGTTAAAATCTTGAACTATTCCCTCAGTGTAAAGGAGAAACTTTTTCTGTGTCCGTATTGGCCGCACAACACAGATAAACGTGTAGAGCAACAACTCACAGGATGGCGTCAAATCTTACACAGCCCCAACGCTACACTACACTATAGTCAAATACAGTTTCAGGCTTCAAAACCTGACCACGAGTATGTATCCTATGGAGCCTGTACTTAGTGGGTACTTAGTGCTAGGGGACATTAGTAGGACTTTGTAACCCATGGCGTTCTGCTTCTACCAGAGTCTACCTAGGTTGCTGTGAAGGATACCTGAAACAATGCATATGCTTGGCACAGTGGCATATAGTACTCAATAAAGGACACTTGTATTTAAGTACACAGATATATGACATATATGCAAATTTGCCCCATATAAGTATAAGTAAAATATTAAAAATCAAATATGTAATGGATGTATGCTGATGAAACTAACACGTCAACAATGCCAAACATGGGTACTTCATGAAGAAAGCAGGAATGGGATGAGAACAGGAGATGAATGGATGCACTAGTTGGCTCATCAGAGTAGGTGCTTCTGGGCATGTGGTAACAGCTGCTAATCCCAGTTAACCCATCAAAAACGTTAACTCTAGACACATGAGGTTAGCCTAGGAAAGGTAAACATAAGCGTTCAAATGTCAAACATCTGGTTCTCCTCTAACTTGTGCCCGGGAAGCTCACACGGGGATATTACAAGTCTCAGTCTTTCCCTTAGCACAGCATCGCCAATGCTGTGCTCCACCAATTACAATGTAAGCTCGAGGGCTGACTCTATCTTCATTCATCTGCACATCCTCAGGACCTAGAAAATCACCCTATAAGCATTTATAAGTATTATTTGCATAAACAAAAGGCAGAATAAATTCTGTTAGAGGAGCCCCAACACCAACTTTAACAGGCTACTTTCAATTCAAAAAACCACAGAGAGGCTTTCTAATCCTCACTGTCATTCATCGGAGTCCCTGACTGATCCCTGCAAGGGGGCAGCATCCAACTCAGATAGTCAGCAGTGTGCGTATCACAGTCAATCTCAACTATACGAAGATTTCAGAGGGAAAATTCAACGTTTTATTTCCCCGACTTGCCTTGCCAGTGATAGATTTAAAATGTCAAAAAAAAAAAAAAAAAAAAAAAAAAAAAAAAAAAAAAAAAAAAAAAAAAAAAAAAAAAGATTTTAGAAGCACTGCCAAAGAACCATGACTATTGTTATTAGTAGAGGCATTGCTTTGTATGACTCAAAAAAATCAGGTTTGGGCTGGTTTTCATTCTCTCTGTGTGTGGTGGTTTGAACAGGTATGGCCCCCAATGACTCATGTGTTTGAATGCTTGACCCATAGGAAGTGGCATTATTAGGAGGTGTGGCCTTGCTGGAATGAGTGTGGCCTTGCTGGAAGAAGTGTGTCACTGAGGGTGGGCTCTGAGGGCTCCTATGCTCAAGCCAAGTCTAGTGTGACAGTCTCCACTTCCTGTTGCCTGCAGATCAAGATGTAGGACTCAGCTCCTTCTCCAGCACCGTGACAGCCTGCACGGCATCATGCCACACCCAGATAATAATAGACTGAACCTCTGAACTGTAAGGCACCCCAATTAAACATTTTCCTTTATAGGCGTTGCTGTGGTCGTGGTGTCTCTTCATAGCAATAGACACTCTAACTACGACACTGTCTCTGCCCACCCCCAACACATAAATATGGAACCTATCTCTTCTACACTAGTCCACACTGCCCCACTTCACTCCCTTCCCTCAGCACCAATGGAGAGTTGACTGTACTTGTTATCAATCGTTGAGTCAGCTCATACATGCAGAGTTGTGGTGTGGGCCTTTATAAAAGCAGAAAGGCCCCCACTGGCCTGTAGAGGCTGATCATTTCTTCTATCAAAGCATGTCTAATTCCCTTCTCTAAATTTTAGATCACTGCTATGTAGAAAATCAAACCAACAAAATAAACGAGTTTTACTAAACTAAAAGTAACAATCAGGGCCCCTACCCTGACAGGATGGATTTGTATGGAACTATAACTAAAGGACAGAAAAACAAGTCATTATGGAGCACTTACAAGTTTTACTACAGATCTGCATTTTATGCAAATCCATATGTTTTTCCAGTATGCCAGAAATCTACACTGACGGGCTGGGATGCAGCTCTGTGGCTGAGCATTTGCCCAGCATGAGGCCCCATGCTCAGTCTCCAGCATCACCAAAGACAAAGGGGAAAAAAATCAGGAAATAAACAAAAACCTACATTGAAATATTTTCAGGGCAAAAACAAAACAAAACAAAACAAAAAATGTTTTGAAGAAAGCAAATTTACTAAAACATTTAATTGGCAAAAACAACTTAAAAGCAATTACACATGTTTGGTATTTAAAATAAAAAGTTTAGAAATCTGAAAAGCCATGTAAAAATGTGTTGCTAGATGCCATAGACAAAACAAGTCCTTATTCCAGTTTACATAAGACCTGCATTGCCATAAACACCCGTGGCCTTCACTAATGGAGAGGCTTTATACTACAGTCAACGTAATGTTTTCCTATCAATTAGTAAACACCTAATAAATCCATAAAATAATTCCAGTCCCTTTATTTTTCAATTGCTTAAGTACTCCGTGCTTTTAAAGCATGTCCTTTAAGTATTGCTTTTACTTTTTCAATGACATAACACCATAAGATGTAATCTAAGAAGTCCTAATGGAGTCGTTATTTCGAATCAAGTGTCTCTCATTTAATAGAAAGTGAAGGAGATAAAAGTGATTTTCTATTATTTAATCAACGCAAAAAAAGACCCCTTGTGACCCTGAGACAAAGTATATGCTGTATTCTATATTACACATGGGGTCTGCACCTTCCATCAACTCAACCCTAGTTTACAGAACACACGAATCAACAGTTACTTAAATCCAAACACTCAGGGAATATCCTGGCTGAAGAGTTGTCATATGTAAGCAGCCAGTTAGATAAATATCTGATGTAGAGTAAGCTTTCACTATACATTTTATTAAATACATTCGGCACTTGGGATTTCCTGCACTACAAATCAAATATGTTATTTTAATATTTAAATCAGCAAATTCAAACATTCAAAAGATGACAAAGCAAATTTTAAAAAGTCCCTAAGTAATTTTTAAATGAGCCAAAAGTTATTTATACTGTAGACTCATCAGGTCTTGGAAGTAAACACTGAACTTTCATTAATAGGTAATTAAAGATATGTTAATAAAACTATAGATTACAAACACGATGAAGGCATAAATGTTATCCTGAGGTGCCAAGCACCATGAATTCCATGGACCAAGAGCCCACTCTCTCTTACCCCCACTTGCGTATTCCATGACTAGATAGAGTGTCTTCTCTGTTTCAATAACTTCAAACAGTTTCACTGAAAAAAGGAGAAACATAACTGTTGTGGAATACTTGTTTACACTGTCAAGACGTGTCTTTGCCAAGGTGCCTTTTGATTGGCTTAATAAAGAGTTAAATGCCAATAGTTAGGCAGAAAGAGGTTAGATGGGACTTGCGGGGAACAGAGAGGACTCTGGGAAGAAGACACAGAGAGGAAACAGGAGGTACAATATAGAAGAAAGGTAATGCCACATGATAGAATTAATATAAACAGGTTAATTTAACTTATAAGAGTTAGTTAGGAACAAGCCTAAGCTATAGGTCAAACCTTCATAATCAATAAGAAGTCTTCATGTCATTACTTGGGATTACATGTATGTAGAAAAAGACTTACTACATACAACTCTATAGCTGACAGCACAAAACGGTTGTTACTTCTGCACACCTTAGGCAACTCTAAGAAGAATATCAGAATAGTTGCTTAATGGAATAGTTCTAACTTTAAAACAAAAAAAGCCACTCGAGTTATCATTTCTGTGCAAGGAAACTATTTACACCCCACTACAAAGTGGTCTAGAGCAAGCCTATGAGTTAAAACCGTTTTTGATAAGAAAAAGCCATAACCTTTTCTAGTTAGAACAAGATAATGAAAAGAGAAATCTTATGGGGTGGTGGTGGTGCACGCTTTTAATCCCAGTACTTGGGAGGCAGAGGCAGGTGAAGTTCTGTGAATTTCAGGCCAGCCAAAATTACAAAGACCTTGTCTCAAAAACCTAAACAACAATAGAGAAAGAGGGAGGGAGGGGGGCGGGTGGGCATAAGAGGGAAAGGGAGAGAGATATCTTAAAATCAGAAGGAGTTTTCACAAGAGCTTAGAAAGAGAGGGTGCAGCATTAGGTTATCATGAAGTGTTAATGTTTGGTATAAAACAAATCTACATTTACGGATAATAAAACAGCTGTGGTAAGAACAGAACAAGACTCACAGCGGAGATTATTCACCACGAATGATCACACTGATAGTTACATACAGAGAAAATCTTTAAAGATGCATGATACAATATTTTAAAAAAGTAGATTAAAAGTAATTTTTTTACTACTTAGAGTCAACTAATTTTATATAACATATCTAATCAATAAGTTTATTTGTAAGGGAGGCAAAATCAAAACTTACTGAAACAATTTAATAAAATTGAAATTAATGCCTTATTTTCTTCTAAATACAAAATACTACACTAAACTCAAATATTTATTAGTAAACTATATGTAACTATTAATAGCGGATGACATGCAATCTCTGACTTAACAAGGAGACAGGAAGCTGTGTGCATTAACCGCAATTGTACCGCAGTGCGGTGCAAGCAGGAGCTGCGGCAGCACAGAGGACAGCTGCCCAGCACCACAGGACTGCGGTACTGCACCGGGTGTCACCGTCCCTGAGTTTTCACTCTTCTTCTTTCTTATGGAGATCAAGAGTAAAATCGTACACAGACGCCTGTCCGTGAAGGGAAATGCTTTGTCATGCACTAATCGTATGTACAGGTTTCATACCTATGTTAGGATGGTTCAGGATCTTCATTATTCGTACTTCCCGAAACAACTGTTAAGAAAAGACAAGACATACTGCTGTTTAAAGAACAGAAAACCTCAAGCAGAAGTCACCTGGAATTCCATTTTAAAACAATCCCTTGCTTACAAGACTGCCGGCTCCGGCAGAGAACCTAAGCGCAGACCTTCTTCTCAGTTCCACCTCCGTATAATGAGCCATGAGACAGCCCTCTGTACTCATTTCATGGAGACCTGGTTTCTCATAGAACTCTGAGGAGACGAACTGGAGTGGTCTGTCTCTGGTATATGAGGTTATACAAAATGAAACATTTTCTTCAACAACTCTGAATGTCCAGAAGCAGAGGAAAAGACTATGGGAGTGACACTGGAGACGCTCCGTGAGGGCTAGTCACCAGAAACAAGCTTCCCTGGGTGCGGGTCTGATTCCTTAACATTATCTCTTTCAGCTGACCCAACACTTTGTGAAAGATTCAGAAGCACTTTCAAGTAGACTTGTAGAGTAGTATTAAGTGATAATAAAATAGCTAGGCACGGTGCACATGCCCATAATCCAAGAACTTAAAGGTTCAGGCAAGAAAACAATGAGTTCAAGGTACGCCTGGCTATATAGTGAGTCTGTTTTGAGATATGGGAAAGGATGAAGATGAAGAGGAGGACTTTTTAAAGATTCATTTATTTTTAAGTTCAAGGCTAGCCTGGTCTACAGAGCAAGTTCCAAGATAGCTAGAGCTATAGAGAAACCTTGTCTTGAAAAAAAAAAAGATTTATTTATTTTTATTTTATATGTTTTGCTGCATGCATGCATGTGCACCACATTGTACAGTGCCTACAAAGGCCATAAGAGGGCATCAGATCCTCTGGAGCTAGAGTTACAGATGGTTGTAAACCCTGTGTGGGTGCTGGGAACCCAAATTCTCTGGAAGAGCAGCCAGTGCTCTTAACCATTGAGCCATCTCTCTAGCCCCCAAAGGAGGACTATTGAATATGTTAAATATAACAAAATAATATGCATGTTAAAATTTTCTTGCCCCTTAACTTTAAAAATCTATCTGGACCAATTTTCAAAAGTTTGTTTTGTCAAGCAGTGACATGGCTACAGAGGGTGCTGTATAGTGCTTGCTGTCAATCTTGACAACAGAGGTTAATATTCAGTACCCACATGGTAGAAGGGAGAACACACTCCTACAGACTGTCCTTTGACTTCCACATAATACACACCATGGCACACATGCATACACATACGAATAAATAAAATGCTTTTAAAAATCATGAAATATAAAAAAGAGCCCAACTCGGTATCTTCTTCTTTATATTGGCTGCCATAAATGTCAAAGCCAAAAACAAAATCAAGAATTTGTTCAAGAGCTGGGCGGTGGTGGCGCAAGCCTTTAATCCCAGTACTCGGGAGGACAGAGGCAGGTGGATCTCTGGGAGTTCGAGACCAGCCTGGTCTACAAGAGCTAGTTCCGGGACAGGCACCAAAGCTACAGAGAAACCCTGTCTCGAAAAACCAAGAAAAAAAAAAAAAAGAATTTGTTCAAGAAAATAGGAGAACCAAGACTTGGCAACATTAGAAAAAAAAAACCTGTGAAGACATGTTTTGTCAGAATAAAACCTAAAATCAGTGTAACCACAAGCAATGTTTCTTAATGAGCTATTAACAGCCTAAGAGAGCATGAAAAGATACTCGGCATAATTAGTCACGAGGGGAATCACATCTACAGTGAGGACGACCCATGTCGTACAGGTCAGGACAAGACAGAGCAAACCTGAAGACAACATTAGATGGAGAGAGCTTAGGTCCCCGTGGCACCTGCTAATGGCTGTGCCAGATGAGAAGATACCATGGAAATGATACAGTCCCGTGGGAAACAATATTACAAAGTTAAAAAGAATCACCAAATAATCTACAGACTGCACATCTGAGAGGGCTGAAAGTGAGGGTTCAGATGAGTGGATAACAAAATGTGGTAACAGACGGAAAGTCCAACACACAACATGGATGAGCCTTGAGCGGATGACAGCAAACGGAACAAACTAGTTACAACAGCCCAACCACTGCAGGACTAGGACTCACAACAGATAGATAGCTCAGTTCATGAGCATATACTGAGCAGTTGATGTGGGAGTGTCATATCAATCTGTTGATTTCACTGGTTAAGCAATAAAGAAACTCCTTGGCCCTGATAGGTTAAAACATAGGTGGGAGGAATAACAGAACAGGATGCTGGGAGGAAGAGGAAGTGAGCTCAGACTCGACAGCTCTGCTCTCTGGAGCAGAGGCCCTGCTTCGCTCTCCTGGGCATATGCAATGAAGCTCCGACCCCGGATGGACGTAGGCTAGAATCTTCCTGGTAAGCGCACCTAGCGGTGCTACATAGATGATAAGAAATGGGCTAAATTAATATGTTAGAATTAGCCTAGAAGAGGCTAGATAGAAATGGGCCAAGCAGTGCTTAAATTAATACAGTTTGTGTGTTGTTATTTCGGGGCATAAGCTAGCAGGTGGCCGGGGTGCTGGGGACGCAGCCCCGCCGCTCCTATTATTTCAACAAGCAGTGCTGCCCCAAGGGCCAACAGAATGGCTGTGGGTAGGCTGCGCATGGGCACAGAGCTTCAATTAAGGGATTTGTAAATTGCTCTGGAGGTGGACAACAATGTAATGATAGTTGTTGACACCCAACAGCAATAATGGTAAATGTTAGCCTTTTTTTTTTTTTTTTTGAGGTTCTCACTGTCCTGGACCAGCTTGGCCTTGAACTCACAGAGATCCTCTCAAATGCTGGGATTAAAGGCACGTGCCACCACACCTGGCTGTAAATGTTAAGTTTGTGGTCACATCACATATTAACAAAATGAAATACAATAAAAATACATTCTAGGGCTGGAGAGATGGCTCAGAGATTAAGTGCACTGACTTCTGTTGTTCCAGAGGACCCAGGGTTCATGTCCCAGTACCCACATGGCAGCTCACAACTGTTTGTAACTTAAGATCTGACACCTCACACAGACATACATGCAGGTAAAATACCAATGCAAATGAAATAAAAGTCAATAAATTATTTAAAAAATAGATTCTAACTGAAAACCTACTAATATTTAGATGTTACAAAAAAAGCTTTCCCTAGATATCTTGAATAATTTCTACGCAAGGTCAAAGAAGTATGTAAGCCTTGGTGTTGTGTGTGTATGTGTACACATGCACATGCGCGCGCACACACACACATACTTTCATTTGGCACATCTTAAGAAGTCTGTAATATAAACTTTACATTTAATAATTAAAAATTACAAGTAAGTAAATAGGCTAAAAGGCAAGTTCTGTATGTTCAAGACTGCCTTGCCCGACTGAAGTATGTTTTTGAAGTCAGACCTCTTTGTGACCTTCAACACACTTAAGATCCCACAGCTCCTGTCTCTCTGGCTGCTCAGTTTTCTGCCAAGCCCTCTTCCTGGGTCTTGAGCTCTCAGCCCCTCCTCCTGGCACTCGATGTGCTCTTCCTTGAGCGCTTTATTATGCTTCAAGTATCACCAGTCTGCTGCTGACTCTTAACTCATTCAGAACAATGGTTTTTATCCCAAGTGCAGGGCTAAGTAATTTCATTTGGTTGTCACACAGGAATCCAAGCCCAACACAGAGCAGTACACATCACAGACATCTCCCAACGCCTTCAGCATGTGTGAGCAAGGAAGGCCTCATCTCAGGATACTCCTGCTTCCAGCTGGACTTCCCTCGGTGCCCAGCATTCCTCCGCTTCCTGGAACTGCCAGGTCCCATGGCGATCAGCACCACAACAAGCTTTCTGAATGGAATCCACTTTCTCTCACCTTTTTGTTACTGAAGGGCACACAGTAAACTTATTAAAGTAAAATTTTAAGTTTCATTTTTTTTCAAGTCAGCACTCACTGTCTTCAGGGTACCCGCTAGTGTGACAGTTCATGCCAAACAACATGATCATGGGACCAGGATCTCTTTACCGCCCTGCACACTACTGTCTGAAAAGTCTTAGGTCTTGTCCATCATCATAGAAGAGGATGTTGAGAGGCAGGCACTGCAGGAGAGGGCCTTGGAATCTGTCCAACACAATTACATTTTACATAAACCGATGAGTCATGTATTTGTAATAAAATAACGTGGGCAATTTGAAAATACCAGATGTAAGTTGCTAATGAAACTGCAAGGTGTGGGTTACGTAGGTGCAGATGATTAAAGTCAGGTATAGGATTGTAATGGCAGATTGTTTCCTGATTGTTATTACAATCTCCTTTCATAAAATAGAACTCAACAAGAAATAGTAGCAAATTTATTCTGACTTTATGAATGTGATTCATGTAGATAAAGTATAGTTCTAACCAGAAAAGTTAAGCTACAGAAAAAAATGTTCATCCTACATCGGACAAAGAATACAATTTATGCCTTAAATTCTGTCTTTTCTTTTCTTTTCTTTTCTTTTCTTTTCTTTTCTTTTCTTTTCTTTTCTTTTCTTTTCTTTCCTTTCCCTTTTTTGAGACAAGCACTGTATAAGTCCTGGCTGTTCTGGAACTCATTCAGTAGAACAGGCTGACCCTGAACTCAGAGATCCACCTCCCTCGGCCTCCCTCTGCTGGGATTAAAGGTGTGTGGCGCCACTGCTCATCATAAATTCTGTATCATTTCAAAGTTGTTCCTCTCTTTAACCTACGCTTCCAGCAAGCACTGTCTTCCTACACCAAGGGTAGTTGCTACCCTGCCCTAACTGGCACAGGTCCTGCCTGGGTTCTGAAGGACCGGTCCATGAGCCATGGCATAAGCAGGATCCCTGGGCTCTTTGATTTTATCTCCTCTTCATTCTTGATACAGTATGCCAAGTTACAAAAGAGGGCAACACTGCCACACAGGGAACATTAATTATTCTTAATAAAATCACTGCCAAGTCATTTTTTTCTTAGAAGTAAACTGGCTAAGATGTTAAGTCAAAGTGAGGGAAGCAGATTAATGTCTACATATATTTTCTTAAAAAATGATTTATTTGATTTGATTTGATGTGTCTG